TCCTGCTGTTCTCCCTCATCCTGGTGGTCTCCCTGATCCTGGTGTTCTCCCTCATCCTGCTGTTTTCCCTCATCCTGGTCTTTTTCTGTCTCTGTGTCTTTCCTGAACTCTTCCTCATCTCCTGTCCTGGTAGATGTTGATGCTCCCTGCTGTGACTGGCTACAATATAATAAAAAATAACCATCATGACAATAATAATGATAATAATAATAATAATAATAGCTTTAACAAATATTCCACATTAGTTTAAATAATGGGCTATTAGGGCAACATGACTGGAAGTCTTGTCATGTGGATATGACTTATGGTAGCCTACAAAATAATAGCTATTTTAATACCTGCTGATTTTGTACAAACCACTTAAAAATAAAATGTGAACAGCTTTTAAGATTTTTCAATACAATTAACCCAAAGGAGCAGATCAATAGCATATAACTAAGGCTCACAACAGTTAGTGATTCTGACCTTGACTCTGACCTGTCATCTTTTGGCTTTGCTGTCATCCAGTAGAGCAGAGAGCTGCTTCCCTGTGCTGCCTGCTGTAACTCCTTTATTCGTTCTCTTTTCAGCCTCTCCTTTCTTGGCATTGTGTTGCAATTACTAAATCAATATACAATTAAGACAATAAAGAGACCAAAATATGTTAATTTATGTTGCCTATCAAAACCTATACAACAGAAAACGTTTGTCTTAACACATAGATTTGTACAGAAGAGGATTAGGGCCACTGAAAAAAAAAAGTTAACTGATTTTTAAATTTTATTTCAGTTTAACATGGGAAAAAAGTCAGAATTCTGACTCTGAGAAAAAGTCAGAATTCTCAGCAAAAAGTCAGAATTATGAGAAAAAAGTTAGAATTCTGACTTTTTTCCCATAATAAACTGAAATAAAATTTAAAAATCAGTTAACTTATTTTTTTTTTCAGTGGCCCTAATCCTCTTCCGTATTTGCAATTGCAAACTCTACCAAATTTATTTGTAGCCTATGTGGTCGTCCTCACGTTATCTGTCATTGACTTGGGCTACAGTGTAAAACCTTCAGAATCAGAATCAGGTTTATTGCCATTGTTAGTGAAGGAGTTCACAAACTAGGAATTTTTTATGGTACAATCGTGCAACATGAAACATATAATATGGAATAGGTAAATAAAATTATAAAAATATCTAAAAACTGTGGGTATACGTCATGCAATAAAATAGACTAATGTATACACTTAAGATAAAAAATATGGATACAAAACATAAAAAGTAAAATAGCATCTTACAAGGAGACAACTAGTTTATCTGGTGACTAGTCGGCAAAATGCGTGTTTGGTGCTGCTGAATGAGACATTTTAATGCCCAACAAAATGATTCTGCTTGATCTGTATATTACCTGGCTAATGGGGCACGGGAGAAGCAGCCTGTCAGCGACCGTTCCTGCTATCTGAAAACTGCTATGATGCTGCGCATCTGGCATGCCCTGCGGGCGACCGAGCGAGTTCACGTGACAAAGGAAGAGAGAGAGGCTGGTCGGTGGTGTGCGCAAGGAGGTCGGTCATTTCGGGGCATTGTTTCAGTCGTTTTTAATGGCTCAGGTTTTCAAAAGATCATTTCAAAACCGACCTCAGTAAAATCTTAATAATATTAATAATAATAATAAAAAAAACGAGTTTCAAAAGGGCATTTTCTTTTATAAAGGGCAAACCTCCTAGTGCTTTAGCACCACCTAGTGTCTATGTATGCACGCCACTGAGCGCAGGAGCAGAAGCAGGCTGGATCAGACGAGGGAGAAAGAGAGAAGAGACAAAAGAGACAGAGTCCTGTGTGCTCTGTGGTTTTCTCTGGCTTCACGGGGAGGGGGGTAGGTTTTCACACCTCTGGTGGCTCCCATGTGACTTGCCTGTGACTTTGGCTGAAAAGGGGGGGGGGGGGGGGGCTGCAGAAGTCCCCCAGCTGTTATCCACCAAAGCTGTGTTCTCTCCTCTGGTCATCCTATCAGGATGAAATATGGACACTGCTTCCCAATGTCCAAAAAGTATGATCATGGCATATTGCACAACAGGAGACATGCAGCACATTAGAGGACATCTATGCATGTTAGGAGGTTTCAGAAGTAAATATATATAACAAAAGAAATAAATAAAGGTTAAAAATAAAACCCTTATGTAAAAAGACTGTTTCAGTATTGAGTAAATGATCATATCATCTGATTTCTCATTTAAAAAATGTTTAATCAAACAAAGTTTTGGGCAATTTCTAATGTAAAAACCAAAATAGAAACTATAAAAATATATACGGGCGTTGGACAATGAAACTGAAACACCTGGTTTTAGACCCCAATAATTCATTAGTATGGTGTAGGGCCTCCTTTTGCGGCCAATACAGCGTCAATTTGTCTTGGGAATGACATATACAATTCCTGCCCAGTGGTCAGAGGGATTTTAAGCCATTCTTCTTGCAGGATAGTGGCCAGGTCACGGCGTGATACTGGTGGAAGAAAATGTTTCCTGACTCGCTCCTCCAAAACACCCCAAAGTGGCTCAATAATATTTAGATCTGGTGACTGTGCAGGTTATGGGAGATGTTCAACTTCACTTTTTTATGTTCTTCAAACCAATCTTTCACCAGTCTTGCTGTGTGTATTGGTGCATTGTCATCCTGATACACGACACCTCCTTCAGGATACAGTGTTTGAACCATTGGATGCACATTGTCCTCCAGAATGGTTCGGTAGTCCTTGGCAGTGATGCGCCCATCTAGCACAAGTATGGGGCCAAGGGAATGCCATGATATGGGAGCCAAAACCCATTACTGATCCCACCCCCATGCTTCACTATGGGCATGCAACAGTCTGGGTGGTACGCTTCTTTGGGGCTTCTCCACACCGTAACTCTTCTGGATGTGGGGAAAACAGTAAAGGTGGACTCATCTGAGAACAATACATGTTTCTCATTGCCCAAAATTTGCGCTCCTTGCATCATAGAAACTGAGTTTTGGCATTGGCACGAGTGACCAAAAGTTTGGCTATAGCAGCCCGGCCGTATGTATTGACCCTGTGGAGCTCCCGATGGAAAGCTTTGGTGGAAACAGAAGAGTTGAGGTGCACATTTAATTCTGCCGTGATTTGGGCAACCATGTTTTTTTTTGTTTTTGGGATTCAATCCGGGTTAGCACCCGAACATCCCTTTCAGACAGCTTCCTCTTGCCTCAACAGTTAATCCTGTTGGATGTGGTTCGTTCTTCTTGGTGGTATGCTGACATTACCCTGGATACCGTGGCTCTTGATACATCACAAAGACTTGCTGTCTTGGTCATAGATGCGCCAGCAAGACGTGCACCAACAATTTTTCCTCTTTTGAACTATGGTATGTCACCCATAATGTTGTGTGCATTGCAATATTTTGAGCAAAACTGTACTCTTACCCTGCTAATTGGACCTTCACACTCTGCTCTTATTGGTTCAATGTGCAGTTGATGAAGATTGGCCACCAGGCTGGTCCAATTTAGCCATGAAACCTCCCACACTAAAATGAGAGCTGTTTCAGTTTCATTGTCCAACCCCTGTATAATACAGATAGATTCAGAAGAAAACAAATTCTGATATTTACAGTTGGTAATGTGTATTTTTGTTCCTGTATGCTTAATAGCTCTGCACATAGAAAAATTACATTTAAACAATAAATCTTAATTCATGCAAGATTTCTCATTAGAATATAAATGCAGGTGTTTGTATCTTGTACATTTATGGCTAAAACAAGTCAGTTGAAATAAATGTTTTATGTATAACTATAGTTGAGGATTTAATTCAATTTTAAATCTTCTGATTAGATTATCATTTGAGAAGTTGATATATTGTATATTATAAACAAATATAATAAAACCCACTAATGTTAGATACATTTTTGTTTAAATTATGACAGCCTCAGGGCCAAAAATATGCGTCGGCCCACCGAGCATGTGCCCTGTAGGACCAATAGCCTGTTCAGCTCTGGGTGAGGCTCAGAACATAGTCTGATCCATTCAAATAGAGAGCTGCTTTTTGGTCAATCTCCCTTTATCCGACAAACCACATCAGCGCCCACATTCCTGAAGACAAAGTTCAAATCAACCTGTTTCATCTTGAAGTTACTCCTGGTTATCTGGGAGGTTTAATGATACATTAATGTGGATAATAAAGCACTAGTTGTTTCAGCATCAATATGCATGTAATCTATAGTAGACTGAATCATCAGAGACCATAAAGCTGAGTGATTTAATATTGAGTTAGTATTGACTTACTGAAAAATGACTAACGCCATCAGAACCAGGTATCCATCTATACCATACTATGCCTTCTGTAAAAACAGCTAGATAACTGAGAAAACAAAAGAATAAAAAAAAAGTTATGAAGTACTACTGGAAGAAAAACTGTCTCATTGAAATCTGCCTTTCGTATTTTAAAAACTGGACTTTTATAGCTCTGAATTTTAAACACTGAATTTTTTTACACATTAAATTCCTTACACATATTTTTTTTTATCTGGTGAAAAATTGCCTGCAAAAAATTCAGCTGCAACTGAATTCAGCTGCAACTGAATTGTTTTGCAGCTAAATATTTTGCAACATAATTTTTTGCAGGCAATTTTTTTACCAGATAAAAATTCTATAGAAGGGATTCAATATGTTAAAAAAAATGTGTTTAAAATTCATTGCTACAATAATTCATTTTTTAAAATATGGTATACAAAAAAGGCAGATTCCAATGAGACTGTTTTTCTTCAAAATACAAGCACCTTCTTAAACACTCTTATAGCCACATGTGATGAATAAAAAACATCAATCAATGGCACCTGCAGTATATTCCAATAAACTACGCAAACTACGTAACCTACGCAACTACGCAATAAGAATAAAATAATCATTTTTTTATCCTAGCACTTAAATACAAACATTTGAGCTGCTCATTGCAGTCATGCTGTAATAAAGCCAGTGAACAGTAGGGGGCAGCACATAGCCATCACCAACCCGGTCAGCTTCCTCTACCACCTCAGAAGAAGTAAGGTGGCAGGGAGGCGCTTCAGCCTTGCAGTTTGACCGACACTGAATGAGAAGCCACTGACTCTGACTTGAAAATGATGAAATTTCTACCTAAACTGCTGCTGCTCCTGCTGTTAGCCTTCCCGGTAACCATCCTCCTCAAAGGTGAGCGTCTGAAGTGTCCGCGTGGAGAAACGGAAAGAAAACCAGCTAGCATGCTGCTGTTAGCACTGCTGATAGCTAGCTGCTGAGAGCTAGGCCCTGCGCTGGGTTATTACTGGAACAAAGCCTGGCATTTTCACATATACAATACATCTTTGTTGAAAAAAACATGTTTTTAACACTTTTTAATCATTTGTTACACCCTAAATGTTGGTGTTTTTAGTTTGAATTCATTTGTTTCAGCTAAAATGAAAGCAGTTTGTTCTCCTGGTTAGACTGACGTGTCCTTACTGTTAGCCATTAGCAGGAGAGCAAACTCTCTCTGAAACGCCTCTCAGACAATTGATTAACTCTACATCAATGCTAAATAAATGTAATAAGTTAATAAATGTATTAAACTCTCATACTAACAGTTAAAACCAGCTAACTCTGTTAAAAGTCTGGACCCCTTCAATACTGGATAGTTTTTCCTGATCAGGTAATTTTATGAAATAAACTCAAAGTGTTTAGGTTGAAATTAATGAGTGAGAACTTTGTTTTTTCTAGAACAACATCTTAGGAAGTGATTTAATCTAAACTTACTAACATAGCTGTGTGAGGGATGTTGAAATAAACATCCGGTTTGACTCGAGATTCAGGATAAAATGGAGGATATTGTACTAGAAGGCTTCACAATATACAATGATTGCTAAAGTTCTTATAAAAAATAAATACTAAAGTCTTATAAGAGACGTGTTTTAAAATGACACTTTAGGTTGTGATGCTAAAAATGAAAAAGGGAAATGTATTGTTGGTTTTTTAGCTGAATTTTTTTTTTCCTTATTTCTTGCCATATAATCATAACCAAATGTAGTTTTTTGTGTAGATTATATGTATCTCGTAATATCTATGTTAAATAAAGGGCATAGATTTTGGGTTTGTTCACTAACTCCCTCATCCCAGAGACAGAAAGCTGAAAAATGTATAGTTATATGGATCATGAATGAAAATTTGTGTTGATTGTGTTTATTTTTCCAGTTTGAATGTGACTTAAAAGGTTTACTTATTGAACAGAACGTTTACCAGGCCAGCTACAAATGATTAGGTTGATTCCTTATCATCCCTGATCAAGTTAAAGGCATCAACAGAACGACCGGATTCCTAAATGTTGATGGATCCACAAATAATCATCTGTGATCAACTCATTTCAACACTTTACTAGAAAAGAAAAACAGATTTATACTGAAAATAAAACCATAGATTACTGTCTGGTTTTAGGTTTTAGTCACATATCAGTGTTCATCACAGAATGTAATTGTTAAAGATGGGTAAATGACATTTAATGTAAAAATCTCTGGTTTTAAGGAAGCTGGTGGGACTTTAATTATTTACAAACCTGACCCCAGCAGTGCCACAGTGTTTAGTTTATTTTATTAGAATCTGTGTTTATTTCAACCCAGAGACGGCCAGACTCACAGGACACAGACATACAATTAAAATATAAGAAACCTACAAGAATTAAAGCAGAAATAATAACAATCTGTGTATAAATGATATTTGAAATATAAGGTTCAATAAATAGACTTTGGCTGTCAATGACATATGAAACAAATTTCTAAATTAGATTCTGCTGCTTTTAAAGGAGGATAATCACTGATGCAGCTTAAATGGAAACCATTGATGGATGGATGAATGGAAGTGAAGTTGTTTCCATACTAGTGATGCAGGATATATTGATATCGGATATCGGCTGTTATTCATAATTTTTTTATACATTAAGGTTTTTGGGCCCTATATATATATAATGCACTAAAGGCAGGCATCTGTCTAACTACCTATAAACATAAATATCAGTGTATTGTGGTTCTCTTGTGTTCGCAACAATGGTAAAGCGTTCAATAAATATATGTTTGAGCTCATTTTTGGAAAATATAAACCCTATTGAAAGCGTTCGGGTTGAGTAACTGTAGGTCCATCAGCCACTATCCTTAGAGCGCCCCCACCAACTGTCATTATAAAGTTACACCCTTGACCACGAGGTTCATGATCAGTTTAGTGAAACTATTGATAATGATCAGGTGTCTGTTGTGATACATTTTGATTTCATGACTTCTTGGAAAACATTTAATCAGATTTTTCCAGCTTTTATCCGACACTGTTTCCTTGGTGTGCATCTCAGTTTGGTCGTAATTAACACCCTAAGATCCGAACAGCCCTGAAAACCTTTATAGAGAACTCAGTGAAATACTTTGAAAATAAAAACTTAGAGCCATGAGTGCTTTTGGAAGACAGGAAAAGACCTTTGTAACATAAAGTATGGCACAAATTTATGTCAGTGTAAAAACTAGAAACGGAAATTTGAAAAATAACAAAAGTTCTTAAAATATATGGGTACAACTAATGATTATTTTCCATATCGATTAATCTGTCGATTGTCTTTTTTGATTAATCGGTTAATAATTGGATTGCCAAAGGTTCCCTGAAGACTACTTACAAAATTAAACCAGGTAACACTAAAACTTTTACACTTGAGGAGTTGTGGGGAAGAAAAAGCTTTTTTTTAATATCTTGAATGCAAAAGGTTTATGTATTTCTTTTTATTTTGATATAATTGCTGTTCTAACCTCCATTTGTAATGGTTATACAAGTGATAAAAATGGTAACTTCCCCATCCATCTGCTGCAGTATTCACCATAGCGTTAAGGCTAATTTCTGCTTCTGACGCATAGCCTCTGCAACTTTCAAGTCTGTCTCTGTGTGCGTTAAAATCTGCTCGGCACAAAGAGCTTTATTAGCAAAACAACGTTAACATTTGGGTTTATTTCTCTGTTAAACAAGCAGAAAGTCGTATGTTTAATGTCCTGATGTTGGTGCTGGACCCTTGATCTGTGTTAGATTAGAGCTCCAACTGTTTAACCGATTAATGGAGGCAATCGATGAAATGAACCAATCCCCAGCTGCTGCTCTGTTCTAGGTTAAGGTAGTAACAATCCTGTCTGTGTTTATCAGGACCCGGGGTCAGCGCCCAGGATATGACCGAGGATGAGGAGGCTGAGGCTGTGGAGGAAGATGTTGTGGACGATGCGACGGCCGAAGATGAGGATGACGAAGCTGAAGTTGAAGACGATGAAAACACAGAACTGGTGAGGATCTGAAAGGGTTCAGGATCAACAGAGCTGGCTGAAACCAGATCAGTTTATCCGACCCTGTAGGTCTGCTGGTGGATTCGGCAGAACCTTTTTAGATCTTTTATCCAGATGAAGAGACCATGTTGAAGCGTTTTGTTGATGCTTCTCATTTTATCAGCTTTGATTCTGATTTTTATTTCCTGTTTTCTGCTCAGACGGAAGAAAAAGATGAAGAGGAGGAAGCGTTGGTTGGGGATGTGAAGGCTTCTCCCAACGCTGACACCACCATCCTGTTCGTTAAAGGAGAAGGTGATTGGTTCTCCTCCCTGTTTCCTCTCTTCAGCACATTTCTGGTTTAAAAGAAAAGTCCAGTCAGCAAGGAATAATCAATGGATCATTATTTATACCCAAAACTAATACGTTCGCTGTGATTTAATGAATTTAGCCTTAATCAGTAAAAAAAATAAATATTCGTCGCGATCACTGAGTCTGGGAGCGGCCATTTTGCCCAAATATAGTAACCCCTCCCTCCTGCCATCTTCCGGCAGTGACGTCACGGTGCGGTAAGCCTAGCGCCATTCTCCCCGCTTTACAAGCAAAATCAATGGGAACTACTAGACACATCTGCAATCAACAACAATTATTCAAGATTTCCAGAGGACTTCACCATTGAAATTCACCAGAGCTATAGTGAAACTGACAATGCCATCGAACTTCTGGCCAGAGAAAAAAACGTAATATATCGCTAACATTTCAAAGACGAATGTTTTCAAGATGACTTGGATAATGGCGCATTGTGACCAACATCAGATACAGCACTGGGACTTGATCAACAGCCGATACCGCACCGTGATGTCACTAACCTGTAGGTGGCAGTATTTTTCTTTGACTAACATTGATTCCTCCAGTAAAACGCATTGAAATGATAATTACTCTTAATTAAAAACACTGATCATTTATTGAACATGTAGTAATTTCATATTTAAAGTTGTAGGGAAATCATATTTAAATGTCAAATCTTTCTGGCTTAAACATGTATATAAATGTACTTTTTATCAGACGATTTTGTCCCGAAATTTAGAAATTGTCTATAAAAAAAAAGAAGAAAAAAAAAGAAACCCGTCTTAAAATCTGCGTTTTTGTCATTATCTTAATCAGGCCAGTTAGTTATCCGTCAGCCTGAACACCTAAATTTAGCCAATCATATATCAACTTTCATCTGTCAATCAAATTTTTTCAGTCATAGCATCTTGATTCATATGTCGCAGCTAATATACGCAACGGTTGAAATCAGAATCCATTCCTTTCCCATTGAGTTCCGTCCCAGTGTTCACGGGGATGGACGTCTGTGTCTTCAGCAGGCGTAGAGCTAACAGAACTGGCAGCGTTGCGAGGCAAGGGCTCAAACATGTACGGCTGGAAGCCTTCTACACCAAACCAAGCTTCTGCCGCCCTGGCGTCAAATTTCGCTTTCCCCCTAAAAAATGGATGACGGAGGAGTCTCATCCACGACCTCCAACACTAAACTCTCCTCCTCTTGCATGTTTCCTCTGTCCGTAGCGTTCCTTGACAGTGTCGTTTCTAAGTCACCAATTTAGTGCTACTTGGTCCCAATGGAATTTCCCATTGGGAACCTGCTAGCACTAAGATGCTAACTGGTTAGCAAGATGCTTCCGACAAAACGGCCACAATCAAACTTGCTTGGGAACTTTCCGCCACAACAATCCCGCCCCCTTGATAATTGACCAATCGCATTCACTTTATTCACTCGTGTAAAGTTGTGCACTCTGGAGAATTCAGAAATGCAACGGTTGGAACAGCCGCTTCCCTACGACTTTAAAGTACTTTCAGAAGTTTGAATTCTGAATATGGTTGGACTTTCTTTTAAACCCGGTTTCCTTTTTTTCTCCAGACTTCCCAGCCAACGACATCGTTAAGTTCTTGCTGGGCTTCACCAACAAAGGACAGGAGGACTTCATCATAGAGTCTCTGGACGCTTCCTTCCGTTACCCTCAGGTACAGAAAATCCCAGCATCCCTCAGGAGAGCAGAACCTCCTGATCTCACACGGTTCTGTTGGTCTGTCAGGATTACCAGTTCTACATCCAGAACTTCACCGCCCTGCAACTCGGTACCACCGTCCCTCCCAGCAGACAGGCCACCTTTGAGTACTCCTTCATCCCAGCAGAGCCGATGGGAGGCCGGCCGTTCGGCCTCGTCATCAATCTGAACTACAAGGACAGCAGCGTGAGCATCCCAGGAAACCGGATCGAACCAGACGCTGCCCTCCATCCGTGCTCCTCTAACCTCCTCCGCTCTCCTCCTGCAGGGTAACGTTTTCCAGGACGCCGTCTTCAACCAGACCGTCACCATCACCGAGAGAGAAGACGGGCTGGACGGAGAAACGTAAATATATCTGCAGTACTGGGCTCCGTCTATGTGCTGGTTCCGTTAGTCTCATTTCTCTTGTCCTCCTCAGCATCTTCATGTACATCTTCCTCGGGGGCCTCGGCATCCTCGTCATCGTCGGACTTCACCAGCTGCTGGAGTCCAGAAAGGTTAGATGCAGGAAGTTCTCCCCGTTTTACAGCAGATCTGGAATTTTCCACCAGAATGCTAATCTGTAGAACAATGCTGCCGGTTCCTGAGGGGTTAAAGGTCATCATATTTGGGTGTCTTCTGTTTACACCAGCAGCCTCTGTTCAGTGTGGGGGCCCTGTCACACCATGGCGTTTTATCCAGCGTATGCCTGACATCCCAGAATCCCCTAAAACGCTGGCATACGCTGAACTTTCTATGTATTGTTTCAAGTTTGGGCGAATACATAGAGTATTCATAACGAGTCCAGAACTTATGTCCAATGACAGCCTAACTTATGCATAATGCAGGGCAGCCTAATGCCCATGAAATGATGGACAAGCATCATTTCATGAGCATTAGACTGATTTATAGTCAGAAACCAGGTCGTCAGTGGACACTCTGCCGCACCTCTCCAAAACTGTAGGGTACCGCAGTCAGTGCTGCAGACAGGAGGCCTCTGATTGGTCAAATCTCCATCCGCTCTACACTATGAGTATTTCCTGTTTGGTTCCTTACCGGCTTGTTTTGTTTATATGACCGCCATTGTGGAAAACGACTTGTGAAGATGGACCAGCTAGAAGAGCGATGTCCCTCTGCTGTCGGACAAACTTGCCCCCACTTCCTCACCGCCTCGGCCGTATCTAGACCCACAGCTAGTTCTTGGTTGTCCCTCTGGTGTTGTGGCGTGGAATAACATAACGCAGACCACGCTTCAATATTTGGCATAAATCGAAGCTCACTGAGACACACTGCTGCGGGAGGATAACCAGCCCTTTACAAAGCATCAGTTAAAACTGCTCCCCTCCGATGCATCGCTGCTCCAAAAATGAATAAATAAAAAGAAAAAAAGTTTGCAGTCGCAGCAGATTCAGCATCATGTTTTCTAGGAACGTGAACTCAGAGAGGATCCATCACCCTCACCTTCTGGCTCACCCTATGATGGGGATGAAGTCTGGAGGAGAACTGATGCTTTCCTCCTGTGAACCCCCTTTATACCAAAACGCTGCCAATACGCCATTATACAGTAGCTGGAAGTTAGAAACATGATCAGCGCTCGTCTGGAACACGACAGATACGTTGATATGCATTGGAGAGAAGTTCTTGATACGTTACGCATTAGTTATGAACAAGTTACTCGTAGGTTTTGGATAAGCTAGACGCCACGACTTATGAGTAACTTTCACTTAACGTATGTCAACCATCAGATAACTGACCTGGAACTTTGGCCCACGTATGAAATATGCTGACATACGACGTACTCGCCATATGTTGACGTGTTTCAGTGTGCTTCAGTGTGCTTATCCAACGTTTTCCAGTTTTTTCTTACATCAGACATACGCTGGTCTAAATCGTCATGGTGTGGCGGAGGCTGTAGGAAGTGTTAGAATCCATTCAGCTCAGATGGAATCATAACTTTTTCTGAAACTCTCCGTCTGTCTGCAGAGACGAGGGCGAACGGCTCCCAAGGTAGAAACGGGAACGTCGAGCCACAACGACGTGGATCTGAGCTGGATCCCCCAGGAAACGCTCAACCAGATCAGTACGTTCTCTCCTGTCTGGATCAGCCCAGACCGATGCTGTACAGCTGCTTTGATCTTTCTGTGTCGTATCTGAATGATGTTGGATCTGTTTATTGTTCTCCAAGTCTCTCACTTTCCCAGTTAACAGTCCACAGCCCGTCTGTTCCTGTTCTCCTCCTGCTCACCGGTTTCAGACCTGATGATCACTCACCTCTCCTGTCTCTCTTTCTCTCTCTGTTTCCTTGCTCTCATGCTTTCCTGCGTCTTCAGTGCAGAGTCGCAGAGGTGAGGGCCGCTGCATGTTTATCCGTCTGGATCCCACCTTTCCAATCTTTGATATGATGCAGATTATTTTTACTGTTTGCATGAAGGACCCAGAGGGTGAAATGAAAAACCTCTCTGAAGCTGTTCCTGCTGCTAAATCAATTAAGCTCTGACTGGTTCAGGTTTTCTGGTTTGATTTACAAATGATTCCCTCAGTTTGACTGAAGGATGGGGATGTTACTGGCATGTTATCAGATTGGCCAATATTGGCTTTAAAACTAGAGATCAGACATCGACCGTTCACCTAATTTAACTTAATGATGGAGAAGACTGTTTAGTGACCAATAAGTGAAGATTATTGCTGCAGCAACAGTAGGTCACATGTACACAACCAGCTATGATTCAATTGGATTAAATTAAGATTAGAAACAAAAATAGTCAGAATGTACCGTTTATATCAACTGATCATGTGTGATGTAAACGTGCCGGTTGTAATATTCAGAACAATTAGCCGCTTAAATGCTGGGGGAGGGGGGGAACTCGGGTAAGTTTACCTCAATAACTTAATCCTGATGAGTGATGACAGGGATGATTAGATCATCAGTCCACATTAACAATCCCTCTCAGATGGGTCACGGTTTTATTGGCATCCTGCTCAATATTCTAACTGACTTTGTTATTTGACACATTTTCAGTCAGATCAGATGTTCTGATTATTAATACCCATGTAAACACCTGTACTGATGCCTGAATCTGCTAGAGGGCAGATGCTGAAGTAAAAAATTCAATGGTGTTGATCTAAACATTTCAGAAACAGAAAGTCCGGCTGATTTTTGCTCTGACTGTACAGAACAGGATGGAGAAAAACTGTATAGATTCTAAAAGATCATCTGGGAAAAATGTTGGTTTGGTTTGTACAGGGTTTCCGCAGGTCATTAAAAATCATTAAATTAGGGATGCACGATATTGGGATTTTGGCCGATATCCGATATGCCGATATTTTAAAACTCATGTAGCCGATAACCGATATCGATACCGATGTTAAAGCTGGACAAAAATAAGTAGTCATTGAAAATAGCAGTTTTGTTATCCATTTCTGACACTTTGAAAAATAATATACTCAAATATATTTTCATATGCTGATATCAAATTGATTTTTAAAAACGTGGTATTGATCTATTTTACTTTCAAAATCTCGTGAAATTTCATCGTTCTGTTACAAACTGTCGTGATATTTTGCAAATTCTTGTGAGATTTTGTTAGTAAAATAGATCGACACCGCGTCAATATATCAACATATAAAAATATAGCAAAATTTCGATGACATATAGAAATATTTCATTAGTAAAAGAGATTGATATGATGTTTTTAAATGGCAACATATCAGCATATGAAGATATTTTAATGTATCAATATTTTTCCCTCGTCTTTAGAAGTTTTTAAGTCTGTAAAAAAGAAGTTTTTGAGGAAGAAGAAGAAGTAGTATTTTTTCTCTTTTAGACTTTAGAAACTCAGAAGCTGATCAAATATCGGGTTAAATATCGGTGGGGTGGCCGATGTCCGATATTCAGTTTTAAGGCCGATACAGGCCGATACCGATAGGGGGCCGATTATATCGTGCATCCCTACATTAAATTATTATTTTTTTAAATTTAGGCCTTAATTGGCATTATAATTCAATAAATGGGATGATTGTGGCATTTAAAATGCTTAAAAAATAAAATAAAAACAATTTTGTCCAATATATCAAATATAACTGGTGTTTGTACGGAGCACTTCACGTTGATCGTAAAGCTTTATGTTTAAAAAGAAGCTTGTGGCGGAGAAAACAACCTAGGGAATGGAAAAATGCAAATTTGAACAAAAGTGGCTGGAAAACTAGGAACTCTGGACATGGCTGCAGCCTGTCGACGGTAAAGATTATGAAGGATTTTACTCTGTTTTTTATATATGATAGTCATGGGTACTTGTTGATGGCCTTAAAATTATCTTAATTATAAATGATTAAGCATTAAAGTAGAGTTACTCATTCCTGTATAAACCCTGTTTTAGAATTTCAGCATTTAATGATGATCAAACTGCACTGATTTTAGTTTGATATGGAAGAACTACTACTGGTAGAAACTGACTCTTACATGGTGCAGTATTAAAATATATAAATATAAACTGTATACATTAAATCTAATGCAGTCAGATGAATTGATTATTCTTTAACATGATCAAAACCAAAATGACTTTAATCATTTCAATCCACCGAGCAGTTTGTCATTAAAGTGGAACCAAAACTCAAGACATTGACTTTAATTCCTTTGATTGATGGAAAAATGTTTAATTTAAGGGTTTATGAATCAATACTGCGCTAATTAAACCCTGCCCTATAAATGAATGTATTCTAATGACATAAACTTCATGTTTTCACCTTTTTCTTCCTGATATTCAGACGTTTGTGTAAAATCCAAATATTTTTGGCTTCAATAGAGAATTTGAACAACTGCAGATGAAAGGAAAATATAACTTCACTAGAATTAACATAAAATTATAAAATTTTCTACATATTTGTGGTTAAAACTTTGATATTCTCTAAACTTTAAATAGTAAATTAGTCCAACATACTAATTCATGCTTTAAGGATCATTTTCATCAATCTGAAGTCCTTAGAAAATAGAATAAAACTAATGATTGAAATGAAGCAAAGAGACCAGAAAGGTGATTAAGGTTAATGAAGGAAGCAGAAGCCGAACGCTGGAGCTGCTCTAAAGTTCACAAGGTCAGATCAGACTGATGTCTGACGGTCACCAGAAGACATCAGAGGCTGTGTTGCTTCAGGCCCAACAGGAAACGCCCTTATATGGTCAAAAGACAAACCCAGAGCAGAGTCTCAAGATGAACAGGCTTTCATCAGTACTTTAACAGGGTTTCCGCAGTTCATTAAAGTCATTAAATAACATTTTTTTTAATTAAAATTTTTTGATTTAAAATGCTTTATTTAAAAAAAAAACGTTGATAAAAATAATTTAATCAGATATATTATAGCGGAACTGCTTCCAGTTGATCGTAAAGCCATACAAAGCTCAAGGCGGAGAAAAAGCTAGAGAAAAGAAAAATGCAAATTTCAAAATAAATATGTATATATGAGAGAGTCATAGGTACTTAATGGCATTAAAATCATTTCTCTAAAAGCATTTAAAAGCTTTACATTAGTTACTCATTCATGTATAAACCGTGTTTAAGCCAGTGGAAGACCACCACGCCTGAAGCAGGACCAGGAACCATCGTCATCCTGGTCACTTTTTACAACTAACTCCTGTTTGAGCTCAGCCATACGTTTGAGTAAAACTGGAAGATTATTTCATTCCAATAATTATAATAAAGCCTCAGCCATCATTACTAGGAGCCGTATAAAGAGATGCATCTATATTTGTAATCGGCTTAAAGAGGAACCTCCTGCATAACTTAATCTAAATGATTTTTATTTTACGTTTCTTCTCCAGACAAAGCTTCTCCAAGGAGATCTCCTCGCAAACGGAACCAGAAACGCTCGGCCGGCTCAGACGAGTGACGGGCGGCGGCGGCGAGCTTTCATCTGTCGGTCATCGCAGGACAAAGAGGAGGAGTGTGAGCTCCATCTGAGCGCTCTGTCTGCTGAGGAACCTAAACCAGTGCCAAGCACAGCCTCGGCTGGCTCCACCTTCAGCTTAGGAACTGTCGAACAAAAACACACACAGATACACAAACACACACAACCTGACTGCTTTCATTTAAAAAAAAAGTTTTTTGTTTTTTTTCCAGCAAGGAGATTTTTCTTTTTTAAGCCTTAGTGAGAAACTGCTGAATTTCTCTGGGAGATGGCACTGATTGTCTTTCTGTTGATTACGTCTCTCCAGGTTTTTGCTTCCGTTTGTGTTTTTTTTTTTACTTTAAAAACATCTTTTTTAAAGAAGCATCCTTTCTGGACTCCGTAAACATTTTATCCTGGACAGGAAGCCGCTGATAAAACACTGGTTAGTCGCAGCTCTGCTCTGAACCGTAACAAGTGCAGTTTTTATTTGGGGATTGGGAATTTTGTCTGCAGCCTTCGTTCACATCTTCTCTCATTTGAGGAAATCTCTCCCCAGGAATCATTTCTCTGCAAATGTTTACAGATTAGTTTCTTTAACCTGGCATTTCTTTCTTTTTTAAATTGGTATTAAAACTGTAATCAAGTAAAACATGGCGGGCTGGAGCTCTGGGTATGTGGATCAGTTTGTTTTTTTCTATCTTTGTCAATAAGCAGCAATCTTTCAATTGATAAAAGCTGTTTTCTCTCTGTAGATACATCCTGCTGAATTAAAAGCAGGTTGAGCTCTAAAGTTTGGAGTTTTGAAAAAAGTGATTCTGTTAGCTGTAACTCATTAAAATCATGATTATCTGGAATCATAACCGGTTAAAGCTGCAGCTGCTAGAAATCTGCGGTGATGCGTTCAGGGTCACTTTTTTAAATTTCATGATTCGTTTCAGCGGCTGCTGCAGGCCTGAGGAGGGCCAAACGGATGTTTTTCACCCTAGCGGTCCTGGTTGGAAGCTGCTGAACGGTTTTTCTACCTTCTGTTAGTAAATTAGTTTGGTCTGAAATCAGAAGGTTCGCTGAGTTCAGACTTCAAAGCGTCTGAACTGGCTGAAGCACTGGTTTTTCTAGAATAATGCGGCTAATTTATTGGAGCGTTTGGTCTTTAATGGGCGGGGTTTGTATACTGCTTGGTTTACCACTGGGGGCGATCGATGCTTCTCCTGCAGAGCGATGGTTGTGGTTCAGTTTGGTCCGAGGCGTCCGTTGGATTCTGATTCTGTTTTTTGTGTCTGTTTTTTTTTTTTTTTTTTTACATTGAAGAATTGCGAGCTGAAGCTGAACCCCTCCCACCTCAGCAGCTGAACTCTTCCGTTTCTGAGGAATTTCATGCAGTGATTCAAACTTCTACTTTAATTAGCTTTTAAAGATGCAGAAAAATAAACTTTGATGATTTGCTGTAAGACTGGCTTTGGCTTTTCTTTCTCTTTTAATTATAATCCCAGTGTTTTAGAATTAAATCAAGATCAGGTTCTAAAAAAGAAACATCCTGCAAATTCTGTATATTTAAAGAAGGGTTTTGGTTATCGAGACAAAATTTAGTTTGCAATCTTCAATTGTCCACTAGATGTCGCTAACATTCTTTAAAAACAAATGATTAGCATTAAATCGAAAGTAATCATCCAATGGAAAATATTTCTGCCTTCCAGAGGCTGGAAAATGTTAGCTTTAGCACCTTTTTCATTCATTGAAGGTTTTTTTTTTTTTTTTTTTTTGCTGTACATATATTTGTGAAGCTCTGAGCTTTTCCCATCATAAAGGTGCAACAGAATAAAGAAAACTTAACTTAGAGTTAAATCTGTATTCAGGTGTTTATTTCTTTCTAATTTTGCCTCAATGCTACTGAAATCCCAATTAAAGCTCTTTAAATTTGGAAAAATAAGAATACAGCATCTGCCAACTGCATTCTGTTGGGGCTCCTTCTGGATTAATATATATATATATATATATATATTTATATTCATTACATTCTATCCTTTAAGAATTTGAGTCTATAAAGCAACAGGACTTGCACATAAAGTTTCTAATAAACATTAAATCAGATCTTGGTATCAAACTTTACTTTAGCCTTTTTACTTGAGTAAAACATTTTGGAGTAGCATTACTCTTGAGCAGAGGTCTTCAACAGGGGGTCCACAGAGGTACTGCATGGGGGTCTCAAAAGTTTTGGTTGATTAGACTTTTGTTTTATATTCCCCCTGTAATTTTTTCCACCAATTAAAATGTCTTTAAATCCACATTAACATGAATTCAAAACACTGTAATAAACAGATAAATGGAGGCAGAAGATGTCTTTCAGTCATCAATGCTCACATTCAGCGACACACAGGAGCTCTTTCAAACTGGGCACCGTTTCATTCACAACACCTGTCCCATCAACCAGGAATCAGAATCAGAAATACTTTAATAATCCCAGTGAGGAATTACTTTCATTACATGACTCCATCTGTAATAGAGTTACTATAGGAACAGTTTGATATAACACAATTTCATACAATATATATATAAATAGGGGTCTCTGCTCCATCTCACCATTTTTTTTTTTTATTCCTTTATTTAACCAGGAAAAGTCCCATTGAGATTAACAATCTCTTTTTCAAGGGAGTCCTGGCCAAGACAGCGGCAAAAGATTACATTACAATTTACATTAGTTTACAATTACATCTATCTATAATTAGAAATTCATAAAACAGTCACAAACCATAGATCTCATTTCCAAATCTTTGAGCAATCGTTTAAAATGTCCGATTGGGATCAAATCCTTCAACTTCCAGTCTTTCTGAAGATTGTTCCATGCTGTGGGGGCAGAGTACTGAAAAGCTGTCTTTCCAGCTTCAGTGCGAACACTAGGTACAGACAGAAGCAAAGACTCCTGAGAACGTAGAGAATACAGTCCAGCCGCTCTTGGTTGAATGTAGCCACAGTTTGGGGTCCTTGGCCTGGAAAACGTTGAAGACCCCTGCTCTTGAAGATAATTGTAGGGTACTCTATTAGCCACCTCTGGTTTAAGACCTTGAATTATAAATGTAAACTTCTCCTCAGTAGCTTTGTTCACCTAATAATAGGCATATTACAGCACTCAGTCAGTGCTTTTGTTTATTGCATACAGTGCTATTTATTGAAAAACTGAAGTTTTACTTGGCTTTTAGCTCTTTAAATTATATCAGTCTGAGTTCTGTATCTATATATGTATTCATAAAGAATTTCAATTTTTGAATAATGCAATCAACATAAATTGGCTTTTTAAAGTCATTTTAATTAATTGTAATGGATTTTAGGACCTAAAACGATCATTTCCACACATCAGCTGATAAACTGCTAAACAAACAAAAAAAAATCTAAAAGTGAGTGACACTTAAAAAAAAAAAATTACTCATTTTTAGATAGTTTTTTTGTAGTATATTTTCCTTAAGTTTCCTAAAATCATCTTATTTCATTTGCAAATAGTTATACCTAACTGCTTATATTAAGTGAAAATATGCTTTATTTTAAGATAAAATGACTTGTTTCTTTTTTTGCACTGTTAAAGGAAACTATTAAGATGTAATGTTGTTCTTCTCCAGATTAGTCTGGACAAGTTGGAAAAACTTCTGATCTGTTTCAGAGCATCATCATCCTGAGAACGGAGCATTCAAACATCAACACAACAACTATATCTAAACAGATAACATGATAGATAGCAGGGGTCAGAATTTTAACTTCTTTTATTAACAGCAAACAATAGTAATTTGTGATGAGAGAAGCAAACTTTCTTGGACTTAAATAAAAAAAAAAAAATAAAAAAAATACAGAAAATAGATCAAAAACCAGAGTGAGTAATTCAAGTCAGACAAGATAAGGTTTCCCTCAAGCTACAGTTTGGCCTGAAATGGTTCTGTGAAGTTAAGCTAAAAACTGCGATCATGTTCCAACATGAACAGACCAGAACCAGACATTCACCTTTTCGCACTCTCACTGTAAAGTCAGAGACATTTCAAGTCACATTACACAAAACAAAACAAGCACAATATTCACAATTATATTCAATTACACAGACAAAAACCCAGCAAATATTATAAACAAGAAACGGACCTGTACATTGTAGAAGTGGTACTTTCTGTAGAACTTTCACAGTACCTTCAAAGGAAGTGGCTCTGACTGTTAGTGGTACCGCTGTCTCCCAACTGAACTATTTCATTAAAGTCGTAGCGAAATCATATTAAAATATCAAATCATTCTGGCTTAAACATGTATATAAATGTACTCTTTATCAGACTATATTGTCCCCAAATTTAGAAAATTTCTATAAAAAAAAAAAATCCTGTCTTTTTTTCATTATCTTCTGCAGGCCAGTTAGTTATGCGTCACCTTGAACACCAAAATTCGTCCAATCATCGATCAACGGTCATCTGTCAATCAAATTTTTATGGTCATAGCATCTTGATTCATATGTCGCAGCTAATATATGCAAAAGTTGAAATAAGAATCTTCGCAAAGTAGTGGTGGTCCCTACAACTTTAAACTTAAAGAATTATCTTCTCTGGAATTATAACTCTAAAAGCCAAAATCCATAATGGCTGCCTCCTGAAACCAAACAACCTCTCCACAGACGCATGGCCCAACACAGAAGATCGGCCTCCTCTGTACAAGACTCCACTGTCCATCCACATCTTATAGACAAAGGACATTCGTTTCAGGACCAGAATGTTCACATTTTGGACAGAAAAAATAGTTGGTTTTAGAGGGGCTTGAAGAAAGCCATCTATGTTAAGAGAGAAAAACCAACCATTTAATCCCTTCTCGCTATAATCTCAACCCTATTCAGCCAGGCCAACAATCCCCTTTAAGGACCTCCCTCTCAGACACTTAGACAGGTATGGGGCATTACAGACTAACAAAGAAGCCAATCGACCCCTATTCCAAAGGGATGGACCCGTTCATCCGGTTAAATTTGCGTGTTTTCTAAGCAAAACAAGCCTTTGTTGGGCTACTGTATAAAACCTAGAACTAAACGCTACTCCTGACATTTTGAATTGAAAAGGGTTCCTGGATGGGAGGCAAAATGTTTTCAAACTTGGGAACAACGTTTCTTATTTGGAATCAAAGTCTCAATTTCTGATGGGAATAAATGACATCGTAATGTAGTGAACACTGCCCCCTGCTGTCCACTTCAATATCAACAACACTGAGTCAGAGGACGCTTCAAGATTTTCCATTAATCCAGACTACTGAGGGCCTGTCCACAAGGAGACCAGAAGGAAGCACCAGCAAAGGTTCTTTTTTTAATTTAAACTGTGCATCCAAGCTCCTACAACATGGCGCCCAAAAGGTTGATCTCCCTAAAAGATTTTAAAGCTATGGTCTCAGAGTTTACCTCTTTAAATTGTTTGTGCTTTTCATCCTGTCTGAGGTCATCTTTTACAAACAGTTCTTGTTTTTTCAAATAATCTTTGCGAATGCGATTTACATACAATGATTTATATGTAATGTTTTGTAGCTGGATTGTTTTTTTATTTTAGTAAATTTTTCTTAATTGAAAAAGGATGGTTGGTCTCAGTGACGATGTCTGTTTAAATAAAGGTTTAATAACAATAAAAATGGATCCAGTGTTTGGGGACAGCCTAAAACGATTGTTTTTGAAATTGTCTTTCAGAGCGAAAATGTTTTTCTACATAAAGGCATCATAGCTTCACTCCTTCTGAACCTTGCATGTGCTGTCAAATGTGTTTTTGAGTCACAGCGCCACCAAAAGGCCTGGCATATGTAGTACAGCTTTGACAACATATTATAAAGCCATCTTGGAGTTTTCCTTAACATCATTGCTACCTGCTGCTGCTGCTGCACTTGTCATAAAGTGTTTTAAGTTCAGAAGTTTTAGTTTTCTTAGGAATCACACAAATTGCACAGATGCGGATTTTTTACTTCTAAAAGGGGGAATAATGTGTTACTAACAGTGAAAGAGGAGTAGTCAAGTCCTAATTTTAAACCTTCCTATGATTTACAAAGTAGATTTAAGATTTAAAACATCACCATGGCTCATATTAAAAGCTTATTGTACAAAAACATTTTCATTTCATTGATGCAGACGTTAAAAACAGAAGCCTTCAGGGGCAGGAGGTTTAAAACATCATCAGTGCAGACGAGATTCAGATCTGTCCCATTAAGTTTCTGAGGTTGGCTTTGTCCTGGAGCATTTCCATTTCTATTTTAATTAGCTCCCTTTTTAAAGTTTTCTGGATCATTTTGGCGGCACTTTTCAAAGAGTTCATCCAGTTAGGTTTTAGTAGGAGAAATATGGGCTCCTAGAGGAAACAAACACAGCAGGTTTGACCAAAGAATCTCAGTCAGCGATCTTGTTCTGTTCCACTTCTGTAAATTAATCCCATCAGATGTTAAATCAGTCAGACTAAAGGTGAACCAAAGTTTGCATCAAATAGCTCCAGTCTGAATGTGTGAACGCTGCTGCCTCCTAGCGGACAGGAGTGTCCGCTACGCCTCCCAGTCCCAGGTACTCCAGGTTCTCTGCTGTTGGGAGGAACAGACCATTCCCAGTTAAAGCTCCAGTCTGCGGCGGGAAGCAGGCCTGGTAATCAGAATTATCCAGGCTGTCATTGGATACCAGGGGGAGTGAGTTTTGGGCGGTGTTCAGGTACTCGGGTTCTGAGAAGGTGGTCTCTGCCATCAGGACGGACGGGCCTGTGGGACCCCAGCAATGGTTCAGGTCCTCATAGTTTGGATTGCAAACGTCTGACAGCCTGCTGCTCCGCCTGGTTTCACTCCAAATCTGGTTCATGTACTCTGGAAGACAAAGACCAGCAAGATTGGATTATTTTGTAATTAGTTTCTTGGAGTTCATAGTAAAACTCTTTGTGAACTCCATACATGTGTCATCATGTGTCATCTGTGGGGGATTGTATTTGAGTCAATGAGTCAATGCAATCAACTGGTTTTCCTTAGATAGAAAACTTTGTATCAATTTGATCTGGTTGAACTGTAAAGTGCCTTGAGATGACATGTGTTGTGAATTTGGCGCTATATAAATAAACTGAATTGAATTGAATTGAATCTTCGCCACGTCTTTCTATACGGTTGTCACTTTGAGACGTTTTAAAAAAGGTAACTATTTTCCACATATATGCTATTAAGTCTAATGCCACTATGATGGTCTGATGATCTGTGGAGGAATCTGAGCACAATGGAAAATAAAAACTACCCTAAACTTTAGTTCATTTTTCATGTTATCCTAGCAGGAACCCGCTGGATCCATTTTTATTTCATTTTCTAACTTTCATGGATTCATTTCTCTCAGGATATTATCAATGATCAGAATCTCCTACCATGATCGATGAGGTCTTTATCCAGAGGGTTCTGAGTTGGATCAGTGATGTATCGCATGGCGATGGTGTTCTCTCTATCTGGATACCCGTTCTAAGATGAAACAGACAGGTTAGAAGGATCAATGTTCATGTTGGTAAAATACATCTAAAAATAACATCAAATTCTTTCACTTTATTTACTCTACCCCCTTGTGGCCAGCAGTAACATGTTATGTGTGCCAAATACATTTCCTTCACATTTTTCAAGTGAAAGCAGATGTTTCTAACCTAAAGTTCTAATTCTAAACATAAAAAAAAAAGTTCTCAATGAATTTATGGTAGAAATGGGAAGGAAGGAACCAAGGAAAGAACCAAGGAAACAACCAAGGAACCAAGGAAAGAACCAAGGGACCAAGGAAAGAACCAAGGGACCAAGGAAGGAACCAAGGGACCAAGGTAGGAACCAAGGAAAGAACCAAGGAACCAAGGAAAGAACCAAGGGACCAAGGAAGGAACCAAGGACCAAGGAAGGAACCAAGGAAAGAACCAAGGAACCAAGGAAGGGGCCAAGGACCAAGGAAGGAACCAAGGAAAGAACCAAGGAACCAAGGAAGGGGCCAAGGAACCAAGGAAGGAACCAAGGAACAAAGGGAGGAAGGAAACCAGGAAAGAAGGAACAAAGGAAGGAACCAAGGAAGGAAGGAAACCAGGAAAGAAGGAGTAAAGAAAGGAACAAGGGAAGGAAGGAAACCAGGGAAAAAGGAACAAAGGAGGGAACCAAGGAAGGAAGGAAACCAGGAAAGAAGGAACAAAGGAAGTAACCAAAGAAGAAAGGAACAAAGGAAGGAAAGAGCCAAGGAAAGAACCAAGGAACCAAGGAAGGGGCCAAGGAACCAAGGAAGGAACCAAGGAACAAAGGGAGGAAGGAAACCAGGAAGAAGGAACCAAGGAAAGAAGGAAACCAGGAAAGAAGGAATAAAGAAAGGAACAAGGGAAGGAAGGAAACCAGGGAAAAAGGAACAAAGGAGGGAACCAAGGAAGGAAGGAAACCAGGAAAGAAGGAACAAAGGATGGAACCAAAGAAGAAAGGAACAAAGGAAGGAAAGAGCCAAGGAAGGAAGTAACCAAGGAAGGAAGGAACAAAGGAAGTAAGGAACAAAGGAAGTAAGGAATGAAGGCTACGATATTCAGATATGATGGTCCAGGGATGTTTTGTATCCTGCTGTTGTTACATCAGTGAGTTTTTACCGTTGTGACGCAGGGCTGCCCGTTTCTGATGGCCAGCTGCTTGTAGGGCAGCAGGTATTCCTCTGCATCGACCACGTCTTCATCTGAACTCAGCAGGCGGGAATAAAGCCTCCTGTCTGATGGACTCGGCAGGTTCCCCTAAAAAACAGGTCAGACCAGTCTGATCAAACTCTGGAGCAGTAAGAGAGGTAGTTTATCATTGCATTATTATACATTCTAAACGTTTAATGACGAAGATTTACCAATAAACACACCGCAAAGATGGAGCATCATATAGGCTGGTAATAAAAACAATTCATTTTGATTTGGACCCTTTAGATTTAATTCCATTTATTAGTGTTAAACCGCTGAGCCACTGCCTGTTAAAAGCTACGATTACAGAACTGATCTGTTATTCCATTAGTTTTAAAGCTATAAGGTGTGTCCAGCTGATGCCTGGTGTACCTGTATGACCAGGTATCTGGACGGGTCCCGCGCCATCTGGGAGAAATCCCTCATCAGCTCCCTGAACCTGGGACGGCTGGAGGGGTTGATCATCCAGCCTGCAGAGAAACGGCAATCAGACAACAGGAAACAGGCACATGCAGGAACGGATCAACGGCATCAGCAATAATCTGTGCACCCTACAGCGCCACCTGCAGGGTCTGCCCTTACATTTCACCATGATCATGTAGACATCAATGGTGCAGATGGGGGGCTGAGGCAGCCGTTCTCCTCTCTCCAGCACTGAGGCGATCTCATTGGCCGGGATGCCGTCGTATGGTTTGGAGCCGAAGGTCATTAATTCCCAAACCGTCACACCTGCAAAAAAAAACACAACAGCATCAAATGAAATGACTGCAGCTACACGAACACAGCATTAAGAAGCCATTATGAGAAAACCAGCAGCCGGGTTTTGTCCGTGTGAATATATCCTGTTTCCTGTTTCTTTCCCTTTGGATCCTAATTATAAACTGACTTCCTATTTTCTGTGGGAACAATAAGCTTAACTCATGAGGATTACCAACTTATAGATGTCCTCTCAACAGGTTTTTCTAGCTGAGTTAAAAATGTCGGAACTCCTCCTGAGTTATCATGGAAACAGAAAAGCTGAGGTTACACAACTAGACTCAGTCATCTGATGGTCATTTGTTGCAGTTGATTCGGAGTTTCAGAGTAGTTACACTGAATATAAATGCAGCTTACATCCGTTCATCATCCATTTATATTTAATTAATGATGGTTTTGGACAAAACTTAGAATTCCAAATGTTGGGGTCTCGTAAAAGAAAAGGAATAAATAATGGCTTCATGAAACTTTATTTGATTTTTTTTTCATTTTATTTACAAAATTTAAAATATTTATTTTCTTCTTTGGTGACCTTAGGATTGCATTTCTGTAATTTGCAGATGATGTGGTTCTGTTGGCTTTATCAGGGCGTGATCTACAGCTCTCACTGGAGCAGTTTGCAGCCGAGTGTGAAGCGGCCGGGATGAGGATCAGTGCCTCCAAATCCGAGGCCATTGTCTCGAGCCAGAAAAGGGTAGAGTGCGTTCTCGGGGTTGGGGAGGATGTACTGCCCCTAGTGGAGAGGTTTAAATATCTTGGGGTCTTGTTCACGATTGAGGGGAAGATGGAGCGGGAGATCGACAGGCGACTTGGTGCGGCGTCTGCTGTGAAGCGTGCGCTGTACCGGTCTGTGGTGAAGAAGAGAGAGCTAAGCCAAAAAGCAAAGCTCTCGATTTACCAGTTGATCTATATTCCTACCCTCATCTATGGTCATGAGCTAAAGAATGAGATCCCGGATACAAGCGGCTGAAATGAGTTTTCTCCGTAGTGTGTCTGGGATCTTCTTTAGAGATAGGGCGAGAAGCTCGGTCATCCGGGGAGGACTCAGAGTAGAGCCACTGCTCCTCCACATCGAGAGGAGCCAGTTAAGGTGGCTCGGGCATCTCATAAGGATGCCTCCTGGACGCCTCCCTGGTGAGGTGTTCCAGGCACGTCCATCCGGGAGGAGGCCCAGGGGGAGACCCAGGACACGCTGGAGGGACTATGTTTCTCGGCTGGCCTGGGAGCGCCTTGGGATTCCCCTGTAGGAGCTGGCCCAAGTGGCTGAGGAGAGGGACGTCTAGGCCTCCCTACTGAAGTTGCTACCCCCACGACTCGACCCCGGATAAGTGGAAGAAGGTGGATTGGTCACAAGGCCACCGTTCTGTCAATCAAAACAACGGCATGTTCCAAATATCTTGAATCAGTAAAGACACTTAAACCACTGTGGAAGTGTGTCGGTGATTGTGAATCGGTGCTACAGTATCTGAATAGTGCTAGCGGATAGGAAGAGGCTAAGACCAGGAAGTAGGATACTTCCTAGCACCAATGTAGTCAGCATAAGCAAATATATTCTAGCCACAGTCACTACCCAATTCGTCCCAGAAGCACGATCTGTCCTGTGTGCGCTGCACAGGACAGGGTAGCTGAAAAACTACGTAATAATGGTACTGAAAATACTTATTTATATACTTAAAACATTAATGAAAGCTAAACTACATTGTATTGAAAATATTGAACACTTCTCTGGAAGACATGGGTACGTTTTACATTCTCTCTATTGTATTGAGTGATGTCATCATTGGCCATGCTCAGAGCAGTCACAGTAACCTTTGAAAGGCTATTTAAGTGTATTGCTTTTTTGTTTGTTTTTAGAATATGCAATATTTACGCAAATACAAAATATTGAAAATGAACCACCCACTGGAAAAAGACAAAAGAATAAAAAAGTAGGAAAAACAAAGTATTGCCTACCCAGAAGATATTCTGTTTGCGCATGCGCAGGATGGATTGTGCTTCCGGATCCTTCTGGATTCTGCACATGTGCAAACAGATATACATCCGGATCTTTTTATGTTTTAGGACTTTTGTGAGACAATTTTGATGCGTTTTACATTTCCTTTGTTAAACTGCTTCTCTAAAGTCATCATCAGACGTACCATGTTTATCCGCATTTTAGTTGTTTCTTTCTTTAGATTATGCAGTATATACCTTAAGGTTAAAACGAAACAAAAACATAAAACTCAAAAAGACTAGATTAATGTTTAAATCCAAAGTTAGCTCCTGGAAGTAGCATAGATCCCATTTCCGGCGCAGATCGGGTAGAGACGAGTGATAAAACAGAAAGGATTTTAAGGCATTTGTTTTCACAGAAAATACATTATTAATTTTTAACACTATATTTTAGTACATTTACTATTTCTGGGGAGGGAAAAATGTAATTTAGGTCTTTTTAACGAAAATAAAATCGAGGGCAACCCGGATGTATATCTGGATGCACAAATGAGCTGATGGCGCATGTGCAGATCTGTGCTTTCGGGACGGATAAGGTAGTGACACTGACAGTCACTGTTAGGAGCCATACAATACAGAAGATTGCGGAACCATATTTTTCCCTGGCTTAAAATGTTTTGAATGTGCCTGCCTGAATAGGAGTGGGTGTACCAGCCTCTATGCTATAATGTTTAAGGGAGGGGGGACAGAAAGAGGTTGGCTCCCTGCTCTAGACGAGAGTGAAGGGAGGGTCATGGAAGATAAGAATGAGTTCACACAGCCTCCTTCATGCCGTGAACGGGATACCTGTTTTGAGTGTTTATCTGACTTAAATTTATGTCCTTGATGAATTTAAGTGTTTTTTCGAGTGTGAGAATGTTTCCTTACGCAGGGGCTAGGTTCGTTCCCCTGGGGGAGAGTGTGTATGATGTTTTTAAGGAATAAATGTATGTTCTGAAATGCCTCAGTCAGAGCTCTATCTCTCCATCCGAGGACGTTAAATAAATTTGAACCTATTTCTTATAAGTAATGACTCTGTCTCAGCTTCCTAACTCTACAAGATATACAGCCCACCTCATGGAGTTTATCAAAAATACATTATTTGTTCTCTGTACTCTGTGTAACACGTGCTAATATACACACCTTTATATGCTTTGGGTTTTTTTCTTTTTAAACAGAGAGCTTCAGCCGTTCCCTACATTCGTGAAACAGTTTTTATTGTAGAAGGTTTTAGTCCCAGTTTGACAAGCAACAATCTGAATGGAAGTCTGGATTGAGCACAGCAGTCAGGAACTCCTTTCCTATCCAGGATAGAGTTCTTCCTAATGACTCTACGAGAGGTGAAGGGATAGGATTGAGGAGCAGGAGGTAGAACACCATAAATAGCTACATTTAGGGATTTGGTTCGAGCCAAAGCCCTGTAGCCAGCAGGGCAGAACCACTGAGAGAGTTGAGTAGGGAAAGAAGTGAAAGAAAAAAATGAGAAGCCTTTTCTCAGAACCTTGTTAGCATGACCTATCAATACTAGATCATAAATAAATCCTAATAATGATGTGAGGTTTTTGTTTAGTGTATAATATTACTATTAGGCATCTGGCATTTTAAAAAAGTGATCATAAACTAAAATACAGGTGCTGGTCATAAAATTAGAATATCATGAAAAAGTAGATTGATTTCAGTAATTCCATTTAAAAAGTGAAACTTGTATATTATATTCATACATTACATACAAACTCATATATTTCAGATGTTTATTTTGTTTAATTTTGATGATTACAAATGACAACAAATGAAAATCTCAAATTCATCATATCAGAAAATTAGAATATTACTGAAGACCAATAAAAACAAAGGATTTATAGAAATGTTGGCCAACTGAAAAGTATGAACATGAAAAGTATGAGCATGTACAGCACTCAGTATTTAGTTGGGCCTCCTTTGGCCTGTATTACTGCAGCAATGCGGCGTGGCATGGAGTCGATCAGTCTGTGGCACTGCTCAGGTGTTATGATAGCCCAGGTTGCTCTAATAGTGGCTTTTAGCTCTTCTGAATTGTTGGGTCTGGTGTATTGCATCTTCTTCTTCACAATACCCCATAGATTTTCTATGGGGTTAAGGTCAGGAGAGTTTGCTGGCCAATTAAGAACAGGGATACCATGGTCCTTCAACCAGGTACTGGTAGCTTTGGCACTGTGTGCAGGTGCCAAGTCCTGTTGGAAAATGAAATCTGCATCTCCAAAAAGTTGGTCAGCTGCAGGAAGCATGAAGTGCTCTAAAACTTCCTGGTATGTGGCTGCGTTGACCCTGGACCTCAGAAAACACAATGGACCAACACCAGCAGATGACATGGCACCCCAAACCATCACTGACTGTGGAAACTTTACACTGGACTTCAAGCAACGTAGATGAAGTGCCTCTCTTCTTTTCCTCCAGACTCTGGGACCTTGATTTCCAAAGGAAATGCAAAATTTACTTTCATCAGAGAACATGACTTTGGACCACTCACCAGCAGTCCAGTCCTGTTTCTCTTTAGACGCTTCTGACGCTGTCTGTGGTTCAAGAGTGGCTTGACACAAGGAATGCGACAGCAGAAACCCATGTCTTTCATACGTCTGTGTGTGGTGGTTCTTGAAGCACTCACTCCAGCTGCAGTCCACTCTTTGTGAATCTCCCCCACATTTTTGAATGGGTTTTGTTTCACAATCCTCTCCAGGGTGCGGTTATCTCTCTTGCTTGTACACTTTTTTCGACCACATCTTTTCCTTCCCTTCGCCTCTCTATTAATGTGCTTGGACACTGAGCTCTGTGAACAGCCAGCCTCTTTAGCGATGACCTTTTGTGTCTTGCCCTCCTTGTGCAAGGTGTCGATAGACGTCTTTTGGACAACTGTCAAGTCAGCAGTCTTCCCCATGATTGTGTAGCCTATAGAACTAGACTGAAAGACCATTTAAAGGCTTTTGCAGGTGGTTTGAGTTAATTAGCTGATTAGAGTGTGGCACCAGGGGCCATCAATTTTGAACCTTTTCACAATATTCTAATTTTCTGATATGATGAATTTGAGATTTTCATTTGTTGTCATTTGTAATCATCAAAATTAAACAAAATAAACATCTGAAATATATGAGTTTGTATGTAATGTATGAATATAATATACAAGTTTCACTTTTTAAATGGAATTACTGAAATCAATCTACTTTTTCATGATATTCTAATTTTATGACCAGCACCTGTATAATAAATCTACAAAGGTGTAATAGACCTTTATTTAGTCCTACCAATAAGAAACCATCTTTATTATCCAATCTATATGTAAAATCTCATATTGTAAAGGGACTAATTGGATTATGTCCTGCGCAGTGAGCTATTGTGCCCGATCCATAAACTACCACAGACTGTGTGCAATCAGGCATTTAAACAACTAAAGACAGGAAGGCAGACAGACAGGCAGACAGGAAGTAGGTGGAGTTTTAAAGAGGATCTTCTCACCGTAGCTCCACACGTCGCTCTGATGGGTATAGGTCCTCTGGAGGATCGACTCTAGAGCCATCCACTTAATGGGAACCTACAGACAGAAACACAGCGGCTCAAAGAAACATCAGCTGCATTGAAATTGGAGGAATATTTGGACAGAATCTAAACAGAAATCCAGGTTCTCTGACATGTTGCGAAACAAACAGGAACCAGTTGGTTTGCATATTTAGTTGTCACACCTTTCCTCCCTCAGCGTGGTATTCCTTCTCATCAGCTGTCAGCAGCTTGGCGAGTCCAAAGTCTGTGATCTTGACACGGTTGGGGTTTTTCAGCAGGACGTTCCTGGCTGCCAGGTCTCTATGCACCAGGTGGCGCTCTTCCAGGTAGTTCATCCCCTGTGAAGAAGCAGGTTTAGTGCATCATTAAGAAAGAAACAATACCTAAACATTAGATAAAAATGAAATGTACAGTCTATCCGTTAATTCCAGGTCAATGTCGGCTCTTAATCTTTTTTCTAGTTTTTTTAAATTCATGTTCATTTTAAGAAAAGTTTCCCATAACGTATGATGCAGAACCTCCATAGATGTATCTAATCCCTTGACCCAGTTCTGATTTTCCCAGCATCTAAACATTTACAGCGAGGTTGAAGAGATTAACAGTCCTTCATTAAGATGAAAACCATCCTGATGGGTTCAGGTTAACGAGCCTCAGCAGGATTAATGGGAGATTAACTGGGCTCACCTTGGCGATCTGAACACACCAGTTCAGCAGCCACTGGCCGCAGATTCGCTCCCTGTGTTGTCGGACGTAGTCCAGCAGGCAGCCGTACGGCATCAGCTGAGTGACCAGCTGGACGGCCGACGTCAGGCAGATGCCCAGCAGGCGGCAGACGTGAGGGTGGTCCACACTGGCCATCACATACGCCTCCTATAAAGAAACCAGGAAGGAAACACAACCATCATACTATACTTGTAGTAACTAGCCAAATGGGTATTTTTTAAACAAGAATAAAAAGAATTTTTGGAAAAAAACGTAAGATTGTTACACTTGATTAGATGGACATTTTTTACATTATTTGCCTTAACATCAATGTAAATCCAAAGTTTTTCTGCTCTGCTGATAAATCATATGCATCTCTTGCACATCAATAATTAGATTTGGTAGGATGTGGTTTGCAAGAAGAGATGAGAAAATCTGAGCAGAAGCAGTTCTAATACACAGCAGTTTGGTCCAGGGGTGCTGTGAAAATTTTTTTTGTTTGTTTGTTTTTTTGGACAAAAGATCTATAAGACAACAGGCCTATTTAAATTACAATAAATACAAATTTATGTTTAGAATGAGATTCACTGCTTTATTGTCATATATGCGCTTCAGTGAACGCAATCAGGGTCTTTAGCACACAGACATCATTAATCACTTTATTTATGAATCAGTTCTCAGAATATATGCGCTATTAGTTAAACTTCACAAACAAACAAAAAAAATTTCAGTGGCTTTAAGCCAATTTGAAAAGCCGGTATTCACGGAGGTATGACTTTTTTTCTAACTGCTTTCAGATAAACGAAACACTCCCACTTCCTCACCGCCTCGGCTGTATCTAGACCCACAGCCAGTTTGTTATTTTCCCTTTTGCGTAGTGGCGTGGAATAACATAGCACAGACCACGCTTCAATATTGGGCATAAATCAAAAATGTCAGCATCATACCTGCCACAAGCTCACTGCGACACACTGCTGCAGGAGTATAACCAGCTCTTTAGGCCTCAAAATAACTAAATCAAAATCCAAATACACGTAATAGTAAATTGAAAAAGTCAAAATTTTTCCAAAAATATTTGGTAATGCTTTATTTTACAGTACATCAATAACCATGTAATAACATGGTAATAACATCGCAAGTTAAACTATATTACTAGGTAACAAAAACTTTATGGAGAATTTTACCAAGTGCTGTGCTTCAAAGGTAAAGTCCGGCTTCTTATATTTCAAATCGTTATTACCAGGTAACTCATATTCATTTTACAGACAGCAATAAATTAATGTGTTGTCTATTAAAGTTCAGTTTACTACTTGCTATGTAACAGAAAACCAAACCTAGAAGACAGCAAGCCAATCTTCTTAACTAAACTCTTATTTATATGTAACTTGAGTTCAGTTTTATATTTGTTGGTGGAGGCCAATAATAGAAAATGTTATGTGGTAACCTAATGGTAATTACAATGTTACATAGTCACATACATTTGTAATAATCACATGCAGTTTATTATTTTGAAATCATATACCTCATTCTTGGGGTAATTACCCAAAAAGTTTTTCTTGTTACCAAGTACTATAATGCGACTTGCTATGTTATTAGCATTTTATTACATGGTTATTGATGTACTGTAAAAGAAAGCTTTAACAAATATTCATATGAAAAAAAAGAAAATTGTGCAAAGTAATTTTAATACATTTGAAAAAAGTCTCCCTCTCGCCACTAGGGGTGTTGCAGCTTCCCCAAGCAACACCTTTTCCCGCGGCCATGGTTTTGTTCATATGGAAAAGATCCAAACCAGTTTTAAAATCATGTTTTTTTTATTTAAGATCAAAAACTTTAAGGATTTAAAATGTGAGATGGAATGTCTTAAGATGAGAGCCTGAACATAACTGAGACGGTATATTTTACTTACGTCCAGAACTTCTTTATTGGCTTTGGGTGATGTTGCCTCATGAAGAACTTTGATGGCAACTGGAATGCGAACATTTTCTTCATCCGGGATCCATAAGCCCTTCACAATAGAATAATACAGATTTTTTTTCAAGAAATACTCTGGAGGAGTGAACAGAACTTTAAAATGAATTATCCTGATGTGGTGTTATGCTTTTTAGTGAATGCTGGTACCTTGTAGACGGTACCAAAAGCCCCAGAGCCGAGGATCCTGTCCTTCTTGAGCTCAGTCTCCTTCAGGATCCTCAGGTGCGCCTGGTTTGGAGCCTGGCCACTCGGAGTCAACGGCTCCACCAGCTGCAGCAACATAAGGTACATTTAGTCTTAAATTATGATTTTTGTCTCCAGTGTGGGATGAAATATTAGACTATGCTTTTTCTTGGCCAAATAGGGGTAATCTCGTAACCGTCTCTATGCTGGAGTTAAGTTATGTAGGGAGTTGGGATGAAGGAGAGCGGTTGCCTCCTCATTCTAGACAGTGGTGAAATATAGATACATGCGCTTCAAGGTGTATAAGAATTCCTAATGCCGTGAACAAAACACAACTGTTGTGAAATCTTTTAATCTGACTAGTGAAAAATGTATGTACTTGATGAACTGAAGTTGTTTCTCTTGAGAATACCCAATGTTTGTGTGTGAGAAAGTTCTTTAAGCAGGAGTGGGGTGGTTCCATGGGAAAGAGAGTGTGTATTGGGAGCTGTTGTATAAATGTATAGCCACAGTCAGAGCTTTATCTCCCTGTCTAAGGACGTAAAATAAATTCGAACTTTCTCTTGCAAGAGTCGCAGTTTCTCCACAACTTCTACTCTCTTTTAGTCAGCTCCAACATTCCGTTGTATTACTACTTACTCACCTCTTTCTCCTGGAGCAGTCGGCGCACAGTCCTTTTCTTTCGGATTTGTTGTCGCCGTAGCAACACCAAGATGACCAGTGATGTAATTACAGTGAGCAGGAGTCCAACGACCACACCCACCGCCACCAATGAGTTTCCAGTATTGCTGGTTTGAAACAAAGAGCACAACACAAATCCTTAGATTTGTTTAGACAGACCCAGCCTTCTCTCTCACTCAAGCCACATGTGAGAACTTATCCTGCTGACTTCCAAACACCAACCCATGAGGATATCCAGATATCAAAATGATCTCAGCCCTTGCTCACACTGGTGAGGGTTGCAAGGTAGGTTAATGGTATAAGGAAAGCTAAGCTACTCTAAACAGCAGATTATTCCACACAAACCAACAAACATCTGATCTAATGTTGTGCAAGCCCCTTAAAGGTACCATAGATAAGGACTAAAAATGTCTGAAACAATAAAGGAAACATGTAGCCTGAATTTAATTTGCTAGTAACAAATATATTACTGCAGCTATTCAGCCTTTAAACCTTGCAGAACCAGATACACCTGTTTTTATTTAGTTTTAAAAGAGATCCACAATTATCTGTAACATAATTTATTTTAGATGTAAATTCAAAACAGTGAAAATATTGTAAGCTCTTTAGTTTAATACATTCAAATATATTGTCACACAGAGGTTTTCAGCACCATGCTTTCTTAGAAGAAAATCAGTCTCACTGGAATCTGCCTTTTTTTGCACACCGAATGTTAAACACTGATTTTTTTTTATACATTGAATTCCTTACATTTAATCTTTATTTGCAAAAAATATTGCCTGCAAAAAAATTCAGCTGCAAAATTTTCGCCCGCAATTTCATTAAAATAAATACATCAAAATGTGACTTGTTGCAGTCAGCAAATTAAAGCCTGTGTGCTTGGTTACCCTTCACATCGAGACAGTCCAGGACCAGAACACCTGCAGACACAAAGATAACTAAATCAATCTTTAATTATTTCCTCTTTTGGTCTTAAGCTATGAAACATTTTATGATGAAGTAAAAGTTTTGAAAAAGGTTTTTGGTTTTGTTTTTTACCCCTGTGTGCAGTTCGGGTGGCAGAGCTGGCATTGGCCAATCTCATCTGCATATTTCCAGATAAGAGTGTCACCCTCTCCAGGTACACCATTTGGGCAGCGAGAGACACACCGGCTGCCATCTTTAAAATGTGCACACTTGCTACATTTACCTGCACCCTGAACAGGAGACAAAAGATTTTATATTCAATGATAAAAGAAATTTGTACAAAGTCAGACATTTTAATTAAATAGTAGCTCTTTACAACTATAACAAATTCAAAACCATGGAACCAAAAAGAAAATCTGAATTAATATGTAAAACTATAATATTTGTATTTGGGATAAAAGTCCTAAGGTTTTTTTTTTCTAGACTCACCGGACCGTGGCAGGTTGGGCTGCCAGTCTGCATCAGACACTCCTGGTGACACTGAACGCACCTGCCATCAACCTGGGCCTCTCTGGGTTCACTGCAAGAAGATACAGTCGTGTGAGGAGTCTGGCTTTTAACGCCAAGCTTGATTGAAGCCAGGATGTAAAACTAAGTAACTAAACCCAAACTTTGATCTTTGAAGGATATCTAGCACAACAGACTTTTAGGATTTACTAATGTTTTTACTAAGGGTCCAATTAGCTATTAGCTAAATCAGAAATGCGAATACACAGCCAATTAAGGCAGCTATTGCTAGGTCTAGTGTCTGGCAGCAATAACTGAGTCTTTACTCAGGAGTTTGAGGGAAAATTTTGACTTTTTCAGGTGGAATTTAACCCAGAGGAAGATTTTCCAGGTTCCAAAAGAGAAAATCTAAATAAATTTCCTTTCTGTTCAAACCTCATGTATGCTATAGTAATCTATACACACAAAGATACTCTAACTAAAAATAAAGATATGTATAAGGTGTGTACTAAATCAATTCACTGTGACAAAATCAATGCAGGCAAAAAAAAGAACAAACAACTGTTAAATAAAAGGGTAAAAAGCGTCAAACTGTGAACACTTGTAATAATTTATAGCTGATGAACAGACTGCAGCTCTCTCACCCATGAAGCAGGTTGCAGTGCTCAACACAGCGCCCCCCTCTGCTCACATGCAGACAGGAGACACACATGGTGGGGCCCTGGCCCCAGCAGCCGTCCTCTGAGCACTCATGGTCACAGGTTTGATTCTCTTGATCTGTGTGAGGCAGATTACAAGCATCAGGTAAGTTCTCAGATGTTTGCTTCCCTGAAGGTTAAAGAGAACCAGACATCATGTCAGGACTCACTGCACTTGGTGTCATCGATTAACTCCTGCTCTTCAGATCTGAAGAGGCGAGACCAGTTGACGGTGTGAATGTAGCAGAGCTCCGGGCTACCCTTCAGCATCACTTTTCCAGCGCTCACCTCCTTTAGGGAACGCAGGCCGAGCGACTTCATATGTTTCACATTAACCAGCACAAAACTGTACCTACTGGGAGGAAAACGTCTATGAGGGACAGCTGGTCCACAAAGCTCGACAGCAGAGAGGTAAAGGGTGAGAAGGTGAAGTAAAGACATACTGCATCTTTTCCATTAGTACTTAATCTGTTCAGGTCCGATCGGGTTGTTTAAATAGTCTTCAATTAAATGCAGCAGTAACTCAATAACAAGGTGGCCGTACTACCAACAGTCTTCGATGTTATGGTTTAAGTGCATCTCTGAACGGCTGGAAAAGGGAGTGAGTACTAAATAATGGTATTACTGCAATTACTCTGAACGCTAATTTTTCGCATTGTTCATCTAAAGTAGGTCACTTTACATTCCCGGTCTGTCTTGCTAACAATTATTCTGGAAAAAGTGAGAAAACTTCACCCAGCTAGCTTTACTGCATCATCAGATGGGAGCAGAGGTGTCAAAAGTATTAATGTTCATTACTCAACCAGAAGTACAAATCCTACTGTTTAAAGGAAAAGTAAGGTCATATTCAGAATTCAAACTTCTGAAAGTACTTTAAGTATGAAATTATTTTTCTACTTAATTTTCCTTAGTTTAAAAAAATAATGGTAACAGTGTCAAATTTAACTTTACATCATCTTGAATAACTATTTTGGCATGTGTTGAACAACTAGTCGGTGCAGCACGGAGTCCAACCACAAAGAATTTAGTTGTCTGGATGAAACAAATTATTTTAAAGATTTTTATTCTTTTAATACCAACAGGCCATAACGAAATTAGCTTAAATGAAACAAAACTAAAGAGTCTATTTTTAAAATGCAATTAGTAGAAAGTAGAGATAATTGCTCAAAAATGTAAGAAGTAGAACTAAAAAGTAAAAAAACAATTACTCCAGTAAAGTATAGATAGCCAAATTTTTTACTTAAGTAAGGTAATAAAGTATTTGTACTTTGTTACTTGACACCACTGAATAGGAGGAGCTTCTATCTCTCCACTGTCGCTACAAGCCTGCTTAGTGTGGGGGATTGCATCCGAGTCAATGAGTCGATGCAATCAACTGGTTTTCCTTAGATAGAAAAATTTGAATCAATCTGACTATATGATCTGGTGAACTGTAAAGTGCCTTGAGATGACATGTGTTGTGAATTGGCGCTAAATAAATAAACTAAATTGAATTGAATCTGGCTCCTCTTGTCTATTCAACTGAACCTGGAGGAACTCCATTTTAGCGGGCGGATCACGGTACTGTACTTCATGTGGAAAGCAGCAGAAGGATGTCAGTGTTGGACTTCCTGGGTTCACCAGATTCTCCAGAGATGCTCCCAGTTAGGGGAGTACCACCGACTGATCCAGGGACTGCTGCTGAATGAGGACCTGCTGTCCCATGCATTTGGATAAAAAAAAAAAGCTCTCTCTCTCTGCGGCACTCTTTCAGCCAGTTTTACATCCAGAACGTATCACCGATTGTTTGAAGCAACAAAAATTGCCAGAAACATTTATATTGTTGAATCTGAGTAACATTTGGCTTAGCACTATTCGTTCTATTTGCCCAGTTTGTCATATTTGCTTTATTCAAAATGCGTCCTTTGATTCACTCCTAATTGTGCCTGTAAATAAGGACTAATACATCAATCAGTCGCTCCATTAACAGTGTACACTAATGGTTCCAAATAATGTCTACTAATAGAAAAGCCAAACAATCCAATTGACTTACAGCAAACCGTACAGAGTCTGTGCTATTAGAAAAGATGTGTATAAACGTGAGAATGAAAAAGAAACTCACTTCTGAGCTGTAGTTCTTCCTTTGATGATCTCCAGGTTCTCAAACACCGACAGAGACGTCATATTTTCAGGCCAGTAAGTGATCATCAGGTGGCCTGCCAACAAAGAAAGTAAATGCATTTCAAGACACCTCCTCAAGATGAAGCTTGGAATCATATCTGATAACAGGTTTCCTGATGAAGTAGCTAAACTAACCCTCACTGATGACCTACCAGTGATCTCCTTTACTGTCCTGAAGTTCCAAAGCTTTTCAGGATCCATGGGCCCGATGTTGTAGTGGGGATCCCTAAAACAGCCAATCAAAAACAGGCCTCATCAGAACAAAACATTAAAAAAATAATAATTAATGTTGAAGCTGAGATGGATATTTATATAAACCAGTATTAATAAAACAAAAAAGTCCTGTCTTTGGTGTGACTTTGCATTAAACTGGGGATTTATTGGTCCCACTGACTTTCCAACATTACCATTACTCTAACAGGTCTGTGAGATTAACTCTGTCAACAGAGCAACATAGGGAAACGTTTTCCAAAGCTGGATTAACAAACTAGGAATAGGTATACACACGATTGCACTAAATCTGTGGGCATGAATTAACCAGTCAAAACAAATAAGCTTTATAGTATATTTAGGCTAAGCTACAGTCAAACGCCAGCGGAATGGCAGCCCACTTACCCGCAACTCACAGCAAAATCCCCTCCAACTTTCAGCCACTGGCCTTCTCCTTAGCATGCATTTAAATTACTCTGCCAAGGACAAGGCAAGCACCAGCCGAGGACCAGGTGAGGACCAGCCAAAGACCAGGCAAGGACCAGCTGAGGACCAGGCAAGGACCAGCCAAAGACCAGGCGAGGACCAGCCAATGACCAGGCAAGGACCAGCTGATGACCAGGCAAGGACCAGCCAAAGACCAGGCAAGGGCCAGCCAAAGACCAGGCAAGGACCAGCTGAGGACCAGACGAGGACCAGCCAAGGACCAGGCAAGGACCAGCCAAGGACCAGGCAGGGACCATCCAAAGACCAGGCAAGGACCAGCCGAGGACCAGGCAAGGACCAGCTGAGGACCAGGCAAGGACCAGCTGAGGACCAGCCGAAGACCAGGCAAGGACCAGCCGAGGACCAGGCAAGGACCAGCCGAGGACCAGGCAAGGACCAGCCGAGGACCAGGCAAGGACCAGCCAAGGACCAGGCATGGACCAGCCGAGGACCAGGCAGGGACCAGCCAAAGACCATGCAAGGACCAGCCAAAGACCAGGCAAGGACCAGCCGAGGACCAGGCAAGGACCAGCCAAAGACCAGGCAAGGACCAGCCGAGGACCAGCCAAAGACCAGGCAAGGACCAGCTGAGGACCAGGCATGGACCAGCCGAGGACCAGGCAGGGACCAGCCAAAGACCAGGCAAGGACCAGCCAAGGACCAGGCATGGACCAGCCGAGGACCAGGCAGGGACCAGCCAAAGACCATGCAAGGACCAGCCAAAGACCAGGCAAGGACCAGCCGAGGACCAGGCAAGGACCAGCCAAAGACCAGGCAAGGACCAGCCGAGGACCAGCCAAAGACCAGGCAAGGACTAGCTGAGGACCAGGCAAGGAACAGGCAAGGACCAGCCAAAGACCAGGCAAGGACCAGCCGAGGACCAGGCAAGGACCAGCCAAAGACCAGGCAAGGACCAGCTGAGGACCAGCCAAAGACCAGGCAAGGACCAGCTGAGGACCAGGCAAGGAACAGGCAAGGACCAGGCAAGGACCAGCCGAGGACCAGCCAAGGACCCATCAAAGAAAGTGGAGAAAATCTGAATGGCTACTCGTGTATGGGGAAAAGATGAAGATTTTCTCACCCATTGAAGGAGGATGGGTTGAGGATGATGTCCCCATTGATCTTTGTGCAGTTCGTGAAGTAGTCAATGTTGGTGGAGTTGATGGCGATGGTGTTGGTCAATGATCCGATATTGATTCCGTCACACACTACAGGATAAACAGCACCCACATTTAGGGATTTTGCTTTAGAGTGTTTGTGAGTTTGTACTTACTTACTTTCAAATGAGTGAGAACATTTTTGTCCAAAAAAGGCTAACAAAAGAATCCAAACGACCCCCATTCCAAAGGGCTCGACCCCTTCGTATGTCCTAATTTGCATGTTTTTAAAACAAAAACAAAGGCTATGTTGGGCTTTTTTGGAATGACTATGACCTGGATGACTGAGAACCTTCGCCAGCATATTTTCATATTTTACAAGTAATGTGAGGACTTTGTTGAAAAGTAAAGACCTTTATGTTCCTCAGCTTCTTTTGGGTTATGGTCTAGGATAGGGGTCAGGGTTAGCCAATAGGAAGGGTTGAAAAAAGCAAGATCCTAGGTAGGAATTCAAATGCATGGATTGGCATGTATGCGTTTGTGGTGTGGGCTGTGGAGGGTGTCTACCTTTAGGACAGATTCCATCACATTGCTTGCAGCGGTGGATCCCCTTCTCTTTTACCTCATACATTTGTGGACCGCAGGAGCGAACACATGAGCCTTTTGTCACCACATAGTTATCTTGGAAGAAGTAGAAGAGAGATAATTAATTGAGACCTATAGAGATAAACACTCTCTGGCACGATGAAAGCTGGTCAGCTGAAAAGGTATCTAAAAGACAAAAACAAACAAAAAACATGTCCTGACATCTCTTAATCTTCCATAACAGTAAAGTTTGAATCATCCATCTATCCATCCATGTTTTTCTACTTCATCCATCAGGGTCACATTGGGCCTCGTGGCCACCTCCAGCAGGCTATGAAACCTGGGTAGACTCTGAAAAGGTCTCCAGTCCATTGCAGTACAGCTGGATCTTAATTTAGTCAAAAACAGAGATACGGTCTAAGAAAATTACTGCAGTATTAGCATGGTATATATGGAAATACGTTATTATCCCAAACTGAAGAAGATTCAATAAAAAGGCTTTAGATCAGAGGTGTCCAAATCCTTTTGCCATGAGGGCCAAAGGTCTGATCTAAATATCCTTTGGGTGCAAAAAAAAAAAAAGTTCATCTTTCTTTTTGCGTGTCCACTAATAACAGCACACAAAATATCACAGAAAAAAAGGAAATTTTAGTTTAATTTCTGTAAAAGTGATCATTAATTTTGGTCTGGATATTTCAAGGTGTATCAGCTGTTGCTTTTTTTCTGCTAAATTAAATAAATAGGGGCTCCATAATCTCAGGGGAAGTCACTGGATCTGTGTGGTTCCATTTACCATCAGATAAAAACTAAAAAACATGGCTGGTCAAGTTAATGTGGCAGCTTACATTTGCTATCGACAGATTTTCATTTTGAACTTTTTTGAGCTCTCTCATCAACAATTACACAAAAATGTCTTTCTCTTTTAAATTGGTTGGGGGGTTAGAGGTGGATAATCCAGATCCATAAAGTAAAAATCTTGCCTAGTTTTTCTTCATTGTGTGAAACAGGTGATTAGCCCCCAGTCTGTGTTGTGGAGCTGAAAATGCAAAAACTTGAAAGTAATCTCAGTATAGGCTTTGTACTTAGTGGACCTGGATTATCCACACCAACTTTCATTGATAAAGGAACATCCTGTAACCTTCTGCCATTATGGACGCTGAAGCTTCCAGGTTAAGCTCCCCCCTGAAAGCAAATGGCAACACTGCGCTGTTGCACAATCAAACAGTCTGCCTCAGTGTTTTGAAAGCTGATAACAGATAAAAAAGGGTCCAAAGAATGAGAACTTATGGAGTTACTGAAAAAGTAAAAGCCAGATTCATCCCTCTAGATCGAATCCAACATCGGAGAACCAAAAATATGTCTGATAAGTAAGATGTTGTATCCATCCATCCATCCAACCTCTTTTGCTATCCGGGGTTGGGTTGCAGTGGTAGCAGCGTCACTAGAGAGGCCCAGATGATGACTACCACAAAATTCAGAGATGAATGTTTTCAAAGATGTCAAAGATCCAAAGCACACTTCAATGCAGACTTTTGAGTAGACAATGTTGGATAAGAGTGGCTTGAAATCCAGTTATTTTAAGCAAAAAATTATAAAAATATCCAGTGATAATTCATTTAAATGTTTGTTTTTGACAACAAAGTGTGTATTTGTAAGGAAACTTTTAGCAAAATATTAGAGATGGATGTACTGTATTTATATGAGTCTGTTTACATGCTTAAGTCTTGATGATGTTTTAATGTACTTACGAGGGCAGGCCTTGACACAGGCAGCTCCGAAGGTGTACTTAGGGTTGGGATTGTCCACCATCTGATGGGTCACATGGTCATAGATTTCGGGAAGAGGACAACTGTCCTTACAGGTTCCGTCGTCGTTGAACTTTCTGCAAGCCTAAAGGACAGAGCAAATAATAAACAGGTGTTTAAACCAAATAAAAAAGAAACAAATAAACCAAAACACAAGCTTCAAAGTTCCCTTTTGGGAGTCAAAATGACTGCTTAACTCTTTGCTAGAAGAAGACACTGATTTTGACAGTGAAGATTGTTTTTTTTACAGGAACCAGGCCATTTGAACTGTAAGGAAGGTCATGTCTGAGAGTTGAGAAATAATAAAAAATCTACATTTTCGGTAATTTCTAATAGTGCTGAAGCTCAGTTTAAAACCTAGATTGTAAAAACTATTTACCACCTACATAATGAGAGTCAATGTTCACAATAACTGGCCCTTGTACTGTTTAGGAAAAAAATGCTATTCTTCACCCTTTCTAAATAAACCTACCTTATCATAATGATCTAACTTTATTGATTGTAGAAATTTACCTCTGCATTTAAACCATCCCCTTGGGGAGCAGTGGGCTGCCATTGTGTGGCGCCCGGGAGCAGTGTTGGGGACACTTGCTCAAGGACCCAGAGTCCAGGCTATATGGATCAAACTGGGTACTTGCAACCTTCTGAGCGCACAAGCGCACTGCTCTAACCACTAGGCCAACACTCCCCTTATATTGGGAAGGAGTTGAACCAATGTGCAATCAGAAATATTGTCTGGAGCTAAGCCCCACAGCTGGCAACAATTAGGTTTATGTATTTTATTTTCTTTATTCTATTCTCAATTTTTGTTTAAATCTTTTATTCCCTCATTACTTTGAAAAGGTCAAGATGTGTTTTTAGTTACTGCAAATCTACCAAAAGATAAGAAAAAAGGGTTTTGCACAAAAGAATAAAAATAATTTTTTGTCAACACTGCTCGCAACATTTATCACTGCTAGGAATATGTTAGTTCCTCTACATTATTTTATTTAAAGTAAGTTTAAATAAGAAAAAGAGAGAAGAACCAAACTGAACCCAGTCTGACTGGTCAGAACTGGCCCACACCAGTTAAACAGCACTGATACTGACCAGGCAGTCTGTGGCTTTGGGTCCGGTGCAGCCGGCGGCACAGTGCTCGTTACAGCAGTCGATGGGTTTGGGCCCGCGACACCTCCTGCTGCACTGATCAGCACAACGCAGCTTGGTGACTGAGAAACACAGACAGGTTGATATCTCACCCAGTATAAACAGACAGAACGTTTGGCTGAACACTAAAAAAGGGAAGACTTTACATTTCTGGCAGTGACCCGCTCCAGGTGCCCAACATGAGCTGTCAAAACAGCTGGGGTCACACTTCTCACCTGCAAAAAAACATTCACAGTGAACAACGACATAACGCCAGGATGAGGGCAGGAAGGAATATTTAGAGCTGTTTTTCATACAGTGATTTCCAGAAGGGCTCAGGTTTATATTCATGCTGGCATTGCTGTTTTTGTCCACTATATCCCACCAGTTGATGGATTCCATGTTGCACAGCAGAGGGTTGAAGGTGATCTTCACTCCTCCTGACAGAATCTCTGTGGAGAAGCAAATAAATAAAACAAAAACATCTGTAAGACAATTTAATCAGGCAATAATAAACACAATCAGATCATTTACTGTTCATTTTAGCTTTTTGATTAGAAATGCATGCGGGATCTAAGAACACTGCTAACTGACACAGCATCAACTGAATGGCTGCAACCACAAATAAAATATTAGGAAATATAATCTAGCTGTTTTTCCATTTAACCAGGATCAAGTCTTAAATTTAAAAGTTTTTTTAAAAGGGATCTCTGGCCAAAATAAATAAAACGTGAAACAGGATATCTATTTAAAGAGCATCAAACTATGATAAACAGGCACATGTTAATGAATCAGAGTAAAAATATTTCACTTTGGAACTAATTGAGTAATTGAATTTGGTTAATTTAAATATTTTTCTCACAGACTTCAAGAGGCAAGTGGAGGGTTAACAAAAGCCTTCTTCCCAATTTAGTTGGTGCAAAACTGACAGAGAGAAGCAGTAAAATGTGTGAATATAAGATTCAGCATTCCTCAGAATGAGTGCAGTTCAGATGCAGGCCAGTGGAAGCCTAAACAATGCCATATAACCCATTAGGGATATAATATGCAACTCCACCTGTTAACATAACCTAAACAGCTGCCCTTTTAATCCATTGTAATTTGTTGGAGCGACATTTTACTGACCAGTAAAAAATGTCTTATATAGATTTTGATTTCTTTACAGTACACTGGCTGCAGGTCTTTTGGCGGTTGGTCTCTACACTTTCTGAGTGTTATGATATTCCTGTCTATTCTTCTTTGCAAAACAACTTGTTTTTAGTCAAATGGATGATGAGTGTCTGAAAACAGCAAGTTTTTCCATAGAGTCTGGAATTTAACAAGGCAAATTCAATATGAATCTGTTTGTTTCCTAACCATCCATTGCATCCTTGGCTGGGTGTTCAGGGGGGGCGTCATGCTGCGAGTTGAACCTTCACCCCAGTTTAAGATCTGTTTCAACCTTTAACATTTTTTCTATCAGGATATCCTGGATTTAGTTCCATCCATCTTCATCCATCAAGAAGAATGAATCATGCTGCCACCTCCATGCTTTACAGTAGGGGTGATGTGTTCAGGGTGATGCTTGTCTACACTTTTGGTTCATCCAACCCGTCTAACATATATCTGGTCCCTTCTCACAAATAAGGTAACATCTGGTGAAACTGAATGACATTTAAGGACTGAATTCTAATGCATATTTTATACATATAGTCAGTGTATCCAAAACCAGTTCATCAGCACCAGTCAGACTGTGAAGTCTTAAATATTTATGATGCAACAACATGTTCTTCAAACTCCTTATTGTCATGGTTTTGGTTCCATTTAATGCGATCATAGAATAATTCTATAGGGTATTTGGTGCTGGTCCTTAAGGTCTCTGAATAGGATGTGTAACATTGGTTGGGCTGAAAATGGCATATTTGCTGTTCTATGAGCCCTAATGCAAGCCTGGTTAAAAGCCCTAGAATGAAACGACTGGTTTTCTTCCTTTTATGATATGATCATGAATATTTAGATGAGCTGTGCTCTGATTGGTTGGTTTATAACGAGTGAAGCTGCTGAGCAAAGACGCATCATAGCAACAAGCACTCACTCACTGAAACATCAAATTGTTGTTATAGTAGGAAGACCAGACGTCCTCCTTTTCCTGAACATGTCCTACTTTTCATTCTTAAAAAAATGTCGGGGGAATTTCAAAATCATCCGGGATTTTGGTCGACTACAGTGCAACACATAGTCGAAACACACCGGGTATTCGAACCGAGCCGTCAGCTCCGGGGGGGAGTCTAGTGGGGGACAGAGCGAGAGAACCCAGCCCCGTGCTTCCCCCCGCCTGCCATACTGGCACCCAGCCCCCCTCCTCCGGCTGACGACGGGCGGCTCATGGCTCCACTGCATGAAAAGTGGGATTTTCGTCAAAACTCCCGTAAATTGTCAGAAATTGACGTGGACTTTGTTAGGCAGTGTTCCCCCCATGCCTCCCCCCCATGGAATTTTAGGGGAGGCTTTAACATGTAAATGAACATGCTGTGAGCTATACAAATGCAAATCAGGGTTGCAGGGGGGGTTTTACTCCAAGTGACATTTTTCTAAAAGGTAAGAAATCTCTGATACAAAGAGATCAGGCTCAGTATAGCCTCTTACATTTTAGCTTGAATTGATTTATTTAATTAAAGTATAGAGACCAAAACAGATCTTTAGCTGACAGAGCAATACATTTAGAGCAGTAATTATTAAAAAAAAAAATTGCATTTAAGATAAAAAATTAAATGTCTGTCAATATGCTCAATTCACAATAACTTAAGTGGAAAAGTTTCAAGAAATGAGTCTGAGATGATTCACTTTATAACATGGCGCATTATCCTGTTGGAAGTAGCCATCAGAAGATTGGTACACTGTGGTCATAAGGTCCGGCCAGGTCAAGATCCGCAATTGCAATCGCACCAAACAGGAAAAAGAACATCGACAAATTCCGGTTCGTCAAATTAAAATATAGCAGCAACAGATCGGTGACTAGAAATTATAGCACAATTCTTATATATATAAAAAAAAAAACTAACACCGTTTATTTAAATGATTGGATCCAAACTATTGGTTATTCACCAACGAGGAACTTAAACTTAAACTTTATACCGAGGGACTTAAACTTTAATCAAATCCATTCAAAAGAAACTTCTTATTACAGGAATCAAAAGAGATGCTGACTTTGGGAGTAGAGAACAAGTTCATTAAAAAAAAAGCAGTTTCGAATTATCCTTATCCCCGTTACAAAAATCTACAAAAATATAAATATATATTTGGGCAGAAACTGAACATATGCTGGATGATGGTGGGATTTTTTTTAATATGTCATATTAAATTAAGCGCTCACAGGGTTCATACAGGAATGAGTGACTCTAATTTAATGCTATTTGAAATGATTTTAATGCCATCAACAAGAACCATGTACACAAGTTATTAGTGTACATGAAATATGAAGGAGCTGTAAGCAGAGTTCCATGACTCCTGTATGTATGTAAACACACACACACACATATATATACGTATATATATATATCCTCTAGCTTTTTCTCCGCCTGGAGCGATATAATATATCTGACGAAATTGTTTTTATAAGCATTTTTTATTAAAGAATTATAAATACTTCGATAAACATATTTAAATAATTTTAGTGCCAATTAAGGCCTTGGTTTAAAAAAAAAAACAGAATGATTTTTTAATTATTTTTATTGATCCGCGGAAACCCTGGTTCATTGACGAAGAAGAAACGTCGGAGGTGGAAGGCCGGAAAGATTGCATGTGGATGGTCGTTTGGTGCATGGCGCGTGTTTTGAAGCTGCTTATGGAGAAATGTCTTGGGCCGTGAGTAGTGAGGAAACAGGAAGCGATTCTTGTGGGATGGAAGAGGGAAATAGTGACAATGAAGGTTGGAAGATAGCAACATCAAAAAATGAGAAAAAGCGGAAAAAACAGAGATCAGTTCAAGGGGAATCTAGTTCAGAACAATCCAGTGATGATCATTCCATACATTCCACAGCACAACAAAATGAATTCAAAGTCATATTCAAAGTCGTTAATCAGGCAGACTCTTTTACAAATTGGAATCCGGTTCACTTAACAAAAACCATCAATAAACTTGTCGGAGAAGTCAGAGGTGCCAGAATTCTGTACAGTGGAGACCTGCTAATTATCTGCAGAGACAGCGCCCAGCAAGGCAAAGCAATACGGATCAACAAAATTGACGGGATAAGAGTTCAGTGCAGCTTAATGGAGAACAAAAAGTTCAGCAGGGGAGTCATTGGAGGAGTTCCTCTAAAAATTTCTGAAAAAGAGATTCTGGAAAACATAAGAGGTGCAAAAGTAAAAGAAGTAAAACGGTTAAAAACAACAAGAAACGGAGAAAGATCTGACAGTTTATCTGTGCTAATTAAATTCGAAGAAGAGCAATTACCAAGCAAAGTATTCATCGGTTACATAAGCTATAATGTCAAAATCTACAATCCTCCACCATTGAGATGTTTCAAATGCCAAAAATTCGGTCACATTGCAGCAGTTTGTAAAGGGAAACAGAGGTGTGGAAGGTGTGCAGGAGAACATGAGTACGGAAAATGTGGAAAAGAAGCTAAAATAAAATGCTGTAATTGTGGTGGAGAACATACTGCTGCCTATCGCGGCTGTGAAGCAAGCAAAAGGTCTGAGGAAATTAAAAAAATGAAATTTGAGCTCGGAATAACCTACGCTGAAGCTGCAAAAAGGATCCCATCTCAGTCAGAAAAACCCAAACCTACAGTTCAACACACAGCAAATTCCAAACCTCTAGAGAAATCTCTAAAAATTGATGAAGACTCACTTATTGTTAAAAAGACAAATTTTGTTCTTTTCATGGTAGAAGTTATTAATTGTACTGCACAGACAACAAAAAAAACGGAAAAAATCAAAATAATAGTGAAGGCTGCAGAAAAATATCTGGACATTAAAGATTTGAACTGGGAGATGGTTGGAAGTATGATGGGAGGACCGATGGGACCATCAGAAACTGGCAGAGTTAAGATGACCTAGAGTAAATTAAAATTATATGGGCAAATGTGATTTAGTATTATGTTGGTTTAAGTTACACAGGTTTTTTTTTTTTTTTTTTTTTTTTTTTTTTTTTTTTTTTTTTTGGGGGGGTGAATCGTTTCCTGTTTTCTTGCTTTACTCCATATCAGTTGGTGGCGGTAATGCACAATTCACAAGTCTGCCAACCGCCATAAAATCCCATAAGAAGAAGAAGAACCCTGGTTCATCTCGCGCATGCTCTTTACGATCTCCAAGAAACTCAGAGCGGCGCAGTGAGCAGCCACAGTGGAGGATGGATGCTTTGCTTTGTGCAGGCGGTCTGGAGCGTCTGGATTTCGGGGTAAAACTCCTCTTGGACGCGATGGCGACTCTGCATCGAACAAGACGAACTCAAAGAAGAGATGCTAGCGGTAAATATATGTTCGATTACTGCCTGCTAGGCTAAAAGCAGCCTAGCCTAAGCTACGGCTAATAGCAGCCTAGCCTAAAGCTACCGCTAATAGTAGCCTTGCAAGAACATTAAATTATAAACAATGATCTCAAAATAATTATTAATCAACATGAAATAAAGCCGGCTGGTGAATTTAAGTATCTGGGTGTAGTTTTAGATTCAAAATTGAAATTTGATGCCCATATTAAGAAAATGACAAAAACTATAAAGACAAATATAAACTGTTTTCGAATGATTCGACCATATGCATCAAATCAAGCTGCACAAGTATATTTACATGCAATGATTTTATCCCATATGTCTTATTGCGCCATCGTTTGGGCCCAGGCCACAAAGTCTGTTTTAAAACCTTTACTCTCACTTCACAAGCAAGCATTAAAAATATTCGATCAAAAACGGGTGAAGTGGCATCACTGCAAAATTATTAAAAAACACAATATGATGACGTTTGAAAATTTTATAAATTTCTCATTTTTAAAAGCTATTTTTAAATGCCTTAATGGTCTTGCCCCTGAGGTAATCTGTAAATTTGTTTTAAAGTATGCAAATGAAGGAATCAGGACAAGAGCTGGAGCTATGGGGAACTGCAGGATTAAAAGATGTCGGACATCTATGGGTCAGTCCGCCTTCTCAGTGAAAGCATCACATCTCTGGAACTCTTTGCCTCTGGAGCTTAAGTCACAGACTGATATTCGACTTTTCTCCACAAGATTGAAAAAATGGCTCAAAGACAAACAAGAGTATGAGCACTAAACTGGCTTGTACTGTACATTTTTGTTTTAACTTCTCTTGTTTTTTTGTTTTTTTTGTGTTTTTATGCATTTGTGTGTCTTAACTAACCTCCCCCCCCCTTAATGCTAACACCTTTTAAAAGCCTAACCAGGGACGAAGGCTGCAAATTAGCCCATGGCTACAAGCCTTATGTACTTGGACATCGGCCACCTGTTTGGTTGCAATGTTTAATTGTACTGTCCCTGTCAAATAAACAAATAAATAAATAAAAAAAATAAAAAAACAAGCTTTATTAAAGTGTATTTTTTGTGATTCACAGGAAGCAGTACGCCGTCTTCACAACTCGGAGACTAATTGCAGGCGCTATGAACCGGAGCAAGGGTAAGATTTAAAGAATAGCACAGTAGGCGTCTGCACATCGGACCTGCCTCGGAGGGAATGCTGCCAGTTACCTCCAACCCCGAGGAAGCAAACGGACCGTTCACGGAGTTTTAATTTTTAGAAACGCATGTGTTTGGATACGCGTTGTATATAGTTGTGTGTTTCAATAAAGCTCTTTCTTTGCATAAAAAGCTTCCTGGCAAATGTTCATTTCCTGTATAAATTCATTCATGTCCTTGATGGTAGCATAATAATTGTGTAGTAGTGTAGGATAACATAAATACACACCATATGAATGTATATATATATATGAATATATATATATATATATATATATATATATATATATATATATATATATATATATATATGAATATATATATATATATATATATATATATATGAATATATATATATATATATATATATATATATGAATATATATATATATATATATATATATATGAATATATATATATATATATATATATATATATATATATATATGAATATATATATATATATATATATTCATATGAATATATATATATATATATGAATATATATATATATATATATATGAATATATATATATATATATATATATGAATATATATATTCATATGAATATATATATATATATATGAATATATATATATATATATATATGAATATATATATATATATATATGAATATATATATATATATATATGAATATATATATATATATATATATATGAATATATATATATATATATATATATGAATATATATATATATATATATATATGAATATATATATATATATATATATATATATATATATATATATATGAATATATATATATATATATATATATATATATATGAATATATATATATATATATATATATATATATATATATATATATATGAATATATATATATGAATATATATATATATGAATATATATATATATGAATATATATATATATATATATATATATATATATATATATGAATATATATATATATATATATATATATATATATATATATATATATATATATATATATATATATATATATATATATATATATATGCCAACCAATCACGAGCGACTTTACTTGTTTAAAAAGAAGCTGTTCCGTCCAATACTCAGTAAGAAAATTAAAGCCTGGCGTGGCCACGTGTGGTTTTGCTGCCAATCACGAGCGATTTCATTTGTTTGAGAATAGTGGTTTCAGCCAATACTGAGTAGGTTATTCAAGCCAGACCTGGCCAGCCGCGCGGGTTTGCTGCATTCATATGCTAATTAGGGCCATTAGTACAGCTGATCGCTCTCCACATACGTCAGAGTCCGTTTCCGACAATTTGTGGCACGACAAACGCGGACAAGCACGGGTTGCAAATTGTCAGAAACTGACGAAAATCAGGCAGATCTGCGGGAGTTTACGGGGACGAAAATCTCACTTTTCATGCAGTGCTCTCTGCTGAGGTCCGGTCCGTTCAGCGGCCCAGCAGCCAACAATTCATATCTCCCCCCCTCGCTTGGGCTAGTGAACTGTGGGCTGGTCTGTATGTTAATTTCGGGGCGTAACAAAAGTACAGGCCAGAACCGAATAAGGCAACATCCCTGGGTTTACGTCAACTCTGTGCTTCGTTTGAATTCCCCTGTTTTATGGTGGAAGTTTAGAATTGTGAGATTTGCAGAGAAAGGAGGTGTTGATGGGGTTTGAACTTCTCTGTACGTCCATTTCACCCACTGAACCATGGTTATTCATCTATGACAATAGAAACTCGGTTTCGCATTCTATGACCCCTATAAGCTTTCAGTTTAGCTTTGATCCATGTTTTTCTTTGTTTTCTAGTTTTATTGTTTTTTATGTTGTGAGTATTCCTGGTTTTCAGCATTGTTGGTGGGTTTATGTTTGTGGCTTTTGCTTCTGTTACCCTTTTTGGTAATAAATCTTCAAGAAACCACTTCAGCTTCAGTCTCTGCATTTGGGTGCTCCTGTAAAGCCCCCACACCAATGCGGCACATGGTGAAGTATTATCCATTTCTTCCAGATCAAAATATGCAGAGCATCCATTAGACACTAAAGTAATGATAGAATTAGATGTTTATCATTTGAAGCCTGATAATTAAAAAGAGCTTTAATATTTCTGTTTTAAGTGAAAAAGTTTTTTCTCACTAAACTTTTCTACTGCAGTCAACCTCTCAGGTGTAATAGAAAAGAAACAGATCCACTGGTTAACCAACATCCCACTCCTTTCCGTCACCTAACTAGTCCAACCATTACCTAGGAATTAAAAGGCTATGTGTTTACAGTAGAGGTGTGATTCAGATAACCAATCCAGTGAAGCTGAACCTCCTACGTCATGAGGCAGAGATTGCCAGGGAGCGTTCCATTTCTTGCTGCCAGAACTTAATGTGCCGTTGAAAGAAGGCTTTTTTTAAGATGCTGTGTCTCCACCCAGCCGGCTCCCTGCCAAGAACTTCCAACTAAAAAAACTTTTATTTGCGCAATCCATTGAGTTTTAATACACCAAAACACGCCTTGTTTTAAACTTTATGATAATGATTTGCTTCAGCTGTAGACTTCCTTTACAGGTATTTGCTGGAGTACATCTGTTAACGCTATCCTTTCCTCTCCTAACATTTGCTTTGTGAGTGCTTGTATGGGCATAACGTCCTCCATCTGACGTGTCCTCCCAGCAGCTGCACCCACCAGTCAGGTTGCTGAGCTGTAGCTGTCTCAGCCCGCTGGTGTAGTTGACCGTCGGAGATAATTGGATCTTGTTGTAGTTGGACAGGACCAGCAGCGCGTACTGGCTGTCGTAGAGCTTCTGTCCTCTGATCAGGCGTAGATTGACCAGCGGGATGGTTGCAACTTCGTTCATAGCGATCAGGACATAGCCGCTAACTTCCTGGATGGACTGATGAGACAGAGAAAAAGAGGAATAAACATTTGCCTGATACTTTAAGAAATCAAAAACATTGGCCTTTTGAGATCATGTTTATTTTCTGTAAACCTGCAACAAGACTGTGTATCAGTTTTCATAATAGAGGTGAACATTTGAGGTTTCCTATATTGCAAATCATGCTTCAGTTTATTTACTTATCCTCAGAGGCTGAAACAGCTTCATTTATTGCTTAAGAACTGCGATAAATCAAGGGTTGTGCAAGTCATTAAAACCTCCAGGCTTTTGGACTAAAGTCAGCACATGATGCACTAAGGAAAGGAAACCCAAAGTAGTTACGCGTTTAGACATGTAACTTCCCTAAACATGAGGAAATAAGGTGAATATTGTTAGTTAATAAAAATGTCCTAGTATGTCCTTGAAGGGTGTTGGACCCTTAACATCACAGAATAACGCTGGTGAAGATTCTCAGTCATCCAGGTCATAGTCATTCCAAAAAAAGTTAAAAAACAATCCACTGGACTTTGTTTCCAAGTTTCGCCTCCCATCCAGGAAGCTTTTTAAATTCAAAATGTCAGAAATAGCATTGAGTTCGAGGCTTTATGCCTTGAAAACCAGAATGTTCACATTTTGGACAAAGAAAACATGTGGTTTGAGAGGGGCGTGAAGGAAGCCATGTTAAGAAAAAACAACCTTAAACAGAGGGGATGGACTCAGATTTCAGCTTTCAAAAGCTATAATCCAGCAATACAGTTGATTCCTTCCCGCTATCTTTACAACCCCCAACCCTTGTCAGGGGAACTCGCCTATTCAGCCAGGCCAATAATTCCCTTTAACGACACCCTTTTCAGAGACATAGACAGGTATGGGGCGTTGGGTTGTTTTTTTTTAAGTTTGGAATCACAGAATAACATTTTAATTCTTAAGTTCCTGATGTGATCAAATGATTATGATAGCCAAATCTGATAGATCATCAATTCAAGCAGTCAAAGTTATTGTTACATTTTCATTGTGTTGATTGATTGTTGATTTGTCTTACATGTGTTAACAGAACATAGGTTCACACCTTTAGTTTGGGACCATTTTTATGCCCCTATCATTGGTCAGTTAATGGTCTAGTGCCAAACTAAGTGAGAAAAAGTTTAGAGGAAAAGTAATTAGAAAACCAGAGCTACTGCACAAAACTAGTCTCACTGATCACAGGAAAATCTAATTGGTTAGAGAGATAAAATAGAAAATACAGCAGAACTATGGAAATTACTGAGCTCCATAGGGAACACGGTGCAAAAAAAAGCCCCCCCAGCTTATTTTAATACAATCCTACTAAAGAATTTTCTTATTCAAGAAAGTCTATTTTTTCCCCTTTGTTTCCATAAGTATTCAAAGTTTCCAGTGATTATTCTTTATTCTTTCATCTTTAGATGACAGTAGAAGCTCTACTGTTCTACGTTATCAAATTTCATCAATATTTGATGTAAAGTCTCACAAAGCAAAACCAGACTTTTAATATTGACTGAAATCTGGTGTAGGTCATCTGAAACTACTCTTCTGTCATTCAGAGGTTAAAGTACTTACTGGAAACAAACCATTTTGGTGCAACATTGATAGCAACTTAGATGAAAGTAATTAAAAAAATACAGATTCTGGAGGGCTGTAATTTTGAAATGCTGGGAAACTTTGAGAAGTAAACATCTGGAGGGGTTCTGCTCTACTACAAGGTTCTCACTGGAAACAAAGGGGGTGTTTTGGAAGTGTTTTAATAATCATGGAACCTAAGGAAATAGAAGAAACATGCAAAATGCCACATAAAACAGTACCTCTCATTCTCATACGTGCATAGTCACATGCTGAAATTGCTTTTGATTTTTTAACAAAACAAAACTTCTGCATTGTCTTGCAAAATAAGGTCAAGATCTCCAAAAACATTTTTAAGGTCTACCAAAATATAGGATACTTTTTTTTTTTTTGTCCCTGTTTCTTGGGGACACAGCAACAAAATCTACTGAAAAATTGATTCAATTGTGATTGAAAGCCCCTGAAGAGCTGGCCCAAGTGGCTAGGGCGTCTGGGCCTCCCTACTGAAGCTGCTAAACCAGCGACCCCACCCAGGATAAGCGGAAGAAGATGAATGGATGGCTGGTGATTGAAAACCGCCAAAGATATAAATGTTAACTTCTAAAGTAAGAAAAAGAAAAATTTCTGCTGAAACAATGAATTTGAGATGTCAGGCATTACAATTTTTTTTTTTAAACAGGTGGCCGCTCACACTGAGCCTGGTTCTGCTGGAGGTTTCTTCCTGTTAAAAGGGAGTTTTTCCTCTCTACTGTCGCTACAAGCATGCTTAGTGTGAGGGATTGCCTTCAAGTCAATGAGTCGATGCAATCAGCTGGTTTTCCTTAGATAGAAAACTTTGAATCAATCTGACTATATCATCTGGTTGAACTGTAAAGTGCCTTGAGATGAGGTGTGTTGTAAATTGGTGCTAAAGAAATAAACTGAAGTGAATAGAATTGAATCAAAGACTTTATCAGAAGTTTCATCAAATTATAAAAAAAATTTCTTGATTGAGAACAGTATAGATGTTCCAATGAGACTGATCATGACAGTGATTGACAAAGGAAATCAGACACACCTGGAGGAAGGACAGGTCCTCGTTCTCCTGGGTGTAGGTGATCTCTAGGTTCTCCAGTACGACGCTGCAGTTGGAATACATCCTCTTCATGTTGCTATAGTGATACTCACGGGTGCCCAGCAGAGTCAGCTGGTTGCTCATCCCTTGGCAAACTGAAAACAGAGAAATGCAGGACAGGAAGTTGACTGTAGTTCCTCTATGCCACTACAGTATGTGGTGCTTTTTCCATTGGAGCCATGGCAGAGCTGAGTTTAGGATGAAGGTTAGCAAAACCATCAGTTCAGTTTTAATGGGAAATTAAACCTTCCACAGCCTGAGGATAATGACAATATATAATAATGGGGTGAGTGATACATTTTATGCTGTACAGAGGTTTTACTCATTACAGGATCCCTTATAAAACAATGAGGTGATATTCTTTTCGTTCTCACAACATGGAATCAGATAATAAACCGATTTCTCCCTAACTGGTCATAATTATATTCCCAAAGAATAAAGAAATGTTAATGTTACATAAAAAGCCAGTTTTATGTGAATCCAAACTAATCTGACACCATGTGGAAAAATACAACCGTCCACTAAACCCCCAATTGCTCAAAAAATGGTCAAAACAAAATTATATTTTGAAAAATAATTTTTTTTTTTGCCAAGTATATTTGTTTCTGTTTTTCATGTAAAAAAAAGTGTCTAACTCCCGCACTTGGTGATCAAACTGCGTTATTGATCTTAAAGCCTCCATGTTAGGACGATGTAATTCTTTAAATGTGTGCCGATGTTACTTTGTTTCACCCTCAGAGTTATTGTTCAGGTAAAGTTGCACAGTCATTTTTCCAACATGAAGAAACAGCAATGAGTCAGAGGATTTCAACAGTGGCAGCGAGGAATGAAGATCTGCAGGCTCACTTCTTCACCTTAAACAGTTTACTCGTTAAAAGCGAGTAACACCCCAGAAACTAGGACAGCTCTGGATCCAGAGGTCAAGGGTCAACCAGATCTCTGAGGGAGCGTCTGCATCAGAAGTGTAAATTGATATTCAATTCAAAAATCTAAAATACTGTTTCAATCCAACAAGGAAATTAAATCAGCTTCTGAACGGTCTGTGACGTCACAGGGTCAGCATGCTGATGACAGCAGGCTGGGTTTTTTCCCTGCAGATTCTTCACCTCATCAGACCAGATTCTCAGGCACGTGTTATCTGGAGCAACTTTAGGAAAGATCAGGTCAGAGCTGTTCTGGTTCTTAAACAACAGCGGCATGTTAGGCAGAAAAAAACCTGGTATACAGTCACATTTATGACTGTTTCTACAGAGCATCAAGCTCAGCATCATCAGGCACCCTTCATTATTACACCCATAAGGAACCAATTAGAGCTGACCCAAGTTAGAAACTAACAAGCCGCTGCTCTCTGACCCTAGTAATGTAGGGGCCAAGCATATACACTGCCTAAAAAGATTTTCAAACTCTTAAATTTAGATTAGCAGTACATTCATAAGGAATCAATAGGCCATTATCTTTGCTTGTTTTAACCCAAAAAAACTATCAGGTACTATGTGATGGTGAAAACTGGGAAGTGAGGGTTGATGTCTGAGCTTTGGAATGAACTAAAACAAAGTGTGAATGGTTTACAGCAGATGTTAGTGATGCTGGGATGACTGGAGCCCAACGGGCCCCAAGATGAAACACACGAGTCCAACGCTGACATTTCTGGGATAAATCTTGGTTTATTCCAAGTTCTGGATGTTGAGTTGATTCTCCTGCTTAAACAGGAACCCACTTGTCTGAATTAATCTGATGAATGACTTTTTGTGCCTCTGGATGGATCACTATTGGTGGACTCCCAGCTGTGATGTCACAGAAACAACACAGCTGAGCTCAGAGTGTCCCTGATGGGATGACGCCTGGCAGGTCGGCCTATTGTGAATTCTCCACATCTGGACTCAGACATAATAACCAACAGTCTCACATTAAACAATGAACTCTGTAGCTATTCCACTTTATCTCATCTCCATCATTCCTTTCTTCCAAACTTTATTTCTCTTTTCTTCATTTTATTCCAGTTTTCTCTCTTTTTTTCCTCTCATTTTCATTCCCTCCTTTCAGTTCATCACTCCTTTCCTAAACCTTCATCCCAATCTCTCCTTCTGTTTTCCCTCTCATTCCTCCCAGTGTCTCCTATCTCCTCCCATCCTCTGTCCTCTCCCACTCATTTATTCTCCATCCTTTCCCATATTCCCAAACATCCTTATTTTCCTTCCTCCCCTCCGGTGGAGTTCTCTCCCCCCTCTGTGACACAGACACGCCAACATTTGTCTGTGTCCATATCTCCTCCTTTTCCTACTCCTCTGCATCTTTTTCTCTGAACTTCTCCTGCAGTTTTCCTTTAACGCTAAAACCCCAAATCTTTTGATATTCTCGGCACAGTCACATCCATGTGGGGAAAGATAGGAGACTTAAGTCCACACTAGTTGTGCCATATTTCAGAGCTGCAACATGTCTGGAGCGCCGAGAAGCACAAGGTGCTCAATACTCAGTGACCTGGCCAAGGTAAGGAAAGCCGAAAAAAGGCAACCTTTGAACAAGACACACAAGACAAAACGTCAAGAATAGGTCAAGAACTATCTGAAGACTGATTTCTCCAAGGTGTTTCTGTCTGATGGAATGAGAGTGAGTCTTGATGGGCCAGATGGATGGATGGGCACCAGGCTGGATCAGTAAAGGGCAGCAAGTTCCTTATCGACTCAGACACCAGCAAGATGGAGGTGGGGTACTGCTATGGGCTGCTATCATCAAAGATGAGCTTGTGGGACCTTTTCAGGTTGATGATGGAGTCAAGATCAACTCCCAGACCTACTGCCAGTTTCTGGAAGATACCTTCTTCAAACAGTGGTACAAGAAGAAGTCGCCATCATTCAAGAAAAACATGATATTCATGCAGGACAATGCTCCGTCACACGCATCAAAACACACCACAGCGTGGCGGCCAGAAAAAGTCTAAAATGAGAAAAAATAATGACATGGCCCCCTTGTTCACCTGATCTGAACCCCATCTAGACGCTGTGGTCCAGCATTAAATGTGAGATCTACAGGGATGGAAAACAGTCCACCTTTCTGAACAGTGTCTGGGAGGCTGTGGAGGCTGCTGCACGCAAACAGAAAAAGACACTGACTGAATCTATGGATGGAAGGCTTCTGAGCATCATGGTGAAGAAAGGTGGTTATATTGGTCACTGATTTCTTTTTTGTTTTGTTTTTTAAAGTCGTAAATGCTTCTGAATTTTGAGTTGTGATATTTGTTTACCTGGTGAAAATAAACAGGTGAGATGGATATATATTTGTTTATTATTACGTTCCCTAATAACTCTGCACAGTAATATTTACCTGCACACACAGACATCCTCATAAAATGACCAAATCTAAAAACAACTCACAAATTTCCAAAAATATGAAACTTTGATATTAAGGAGTCTTGGGTTGATTGAGAACACAATTGAGGCCCAATAATAAAAATAATCCTCAAAAATACAACTTGCCTAATAATTCTGCACACAGTGTATATAAGCGGAGCACTAAATAGAATAAATAGTAACCTGGCAGACTTAGAAAAAAAGCAACAAAAAAGCAAAAGGTAGTTACTTGAATCGTCTAAAACTGACCAACTGAACTCAAGCATAAATAAAAATATAAATTATAACATGCTGGTGAAGATTCTCACTCATCCAGGTCAGTCATTCAAAAATAGAATATTAAAAACAATCCACTGGACTTTGCTTCCAAGTTTGAAGACGTTTTGCTTCCCATCCAAAAAGCTTTTTCATTTCAAAATGTCAGAAATAGCATTTTTTTCTTAAAATAGTGCATTTGTTCTTGGATTGAGGAGATAAAAGACATTTTTGCCAATAGAACAAGACAATTTAAGACATTTAAAATAAGTAAACACACTTGCATTGTCTATTTCATTCTTATTCTAAGAGTAAAAATGATCATTTCATTGGTAAACTATCTCATTTACCTACTCAAATTAAGGGTAAATGCACTTAATTTAAGACATTTATTTTTCCAGTGCTGGAAATAGATAAAATTTCCAAGAAGACGGCAAAGAATGATGATGTGTGAAACATCCCACTGCACTCAGAATCTAGAAGTTCAGGATTCCTGATGATCCTTGAACATATCCTGCAGCTCCCACCCTCACATTTACGGGCTATTGTTAAACATCTGAGGACAGTCTTAAAAAGATCCAGTCACGTGGAAACAAACTAAATGTGTTTCCTCTTTGCTTTCGTTATCTGACAGCCTTCTGGCCTCCAGTGTAATTTTTCCAAATCTTCAGAGCAGTGATTGTTCTCTTAAGTGGTTGTAAATACCTTAATATCCCAGAGATCACTGAGTCAGAGCTGCGGCATTGTTGAGCAACACTTTACACAGGTAAACACAGGAAATACAACCTCAGTCATAAACAGCGATAGATGCCTGTTGTTCTGACACCTCCTTCTGGTTAGCAGTGAAACGCTCTCAGGATGACGGGGTGAAGGTGAGATGAGCTGATTAAAAAAGCCAAACATACAAAGAGACGTTATTTGTTCAGGAACAGGTCGGGCCTGTCTATGTCTTGGATGACAGCTACGCTCTTAGCCATAAACGTGAAAGCAGTGTGTGTGTGTGTGTGCCTGTCGGTTTGTGTATTGGGTAAAGATCTCATTTACAATAGTTCATCAGATGAAATGAACATTGTGTCATTAAATGATGCCTTCGTTGTCTGGTTATCAGGGATAAGAATCGATAAGTTCACGTTTCATTTTTCATGTTTCGTGACAAAAGCAGCAGTTTTGTTCTTTTGCCTTATCTGATCTCATGATATTCCCACAGCTCTCCCTGAGCATTAGTCCTACCCACCATCATATATACTTGTTGTGCGTATTGGTTGTTTAGAAGGATCCCTATTATTCTCAGCCTTAGAAATCACTCTTCCATGGGGGAAACGGAAACATAAAAAATATGTTAAAATAAATCAGTCAGCAAAATTACAAATCAAAACAGCCCAAAAAAGAGAAATAATAACAAAGACGACCAACTTAAACATTTAAAAACAAAAGAAAAGAACAATTTAATAAGGCCATCAAAAAACCAACAAAAACATTTAATAAAATGACTC